AATGGCTGGTATTATTAATCTTATTTATAATTTTATTCTTCTTGAACCCTGAGGTAAATCTGTCTCTTAAATTATATTTATGTCTTTTAAATTTGAGTACAAGTTGCTGTCAAAAGAAATGTATTCTCCTAATTATGCCCAGAATAAACACCTAAGAGACCCTGTAGAATCATAAAATGCAAAAACCATAGGCATCTTTGCAACTTGATCTCTTAAAAATGACCTCTTTTGCGGTCTTATAAGTTGTAAACTTTACAATAATAGGTCATTTTACCACATTCATCATTTGGTTTTTAAACTTAGAATAAATTTATTCATTTATTTGTTATTCTGTAAAATTCTGGAAATACTTTCATTTATGCCTTTAGAGTCCCTAAAATAACCTTTCATGTGAGTAAAAAATTGATGTTTACATTTTCACCTTATATATTTTAGACTTTTTAGGATAATCTAAATTTAATGCATTGGCTATCAGTAGATGTTTGAAATGAAATTTTAACTGACTTCTTATCTAAAATATAAGTAAAATTTTGATATAAAAATCCCATTACTATAATTAGGATAAAAAAAGATGTTTGGTTATAAGTGATTTATAATCCAAGAATCCACATTTATTGTAAGAATTCTACAGCTGGAAAGGTGGGTGGAGGAAGCGGGAAGAAGGCAAAAAAATATGAAGGAGTCATACTAATTTGTAATTACTTATAGTCAGTGTAAAATATACTCTAGAGCTCTCCTTTTTAGTCAATTGTAGGCAATCTAAGTTATTACTCTGCAATTTAACCAATATGAACATAAAATATGCTTTAATATTTCTTTCATATTATAATCGGTGAAGTAAGTCTTATTTCTGATAAATCAAAAGTCTGTTGTGAACTGACTTTGTGAAAGCAGAATGTTCTACTGTGAAATCCTAATATTTGGCATAGCAATAAAATATAATATTACAGAAATTAGATGTAAGATCAAATATGGCAGCTTAATTTATCATGAAAAGGCTTAGGTAAAAAGTGGGTAAGTATATTGCATTTCCAAGCATTATGCTAAATCTAGAAGAGAAAATACCAAGCAAATTTCCATATCTTCAAATTTGGCCTAAAGTAGCACTGCCACTTCAAACTTTAGATTCTGGAAAAATGATCAGATAATAAGTCTGTTTAATTTTTATGGGGAGGCCTATTCACAAGCGTATTAAATCACAATGTATGCCATTAAAGTGGCTAAGAAGTTAATGTTGGAGTAGATTTTAGAAATATATTTTAGATATTTTAAAATATCTAAATGTATAATATAAAGATTAATAAATATATTGAATTCCACTTTTGGTTTTAAACTGAAAATGGAAGACAACAATTATGTTTGTCCACAGATGAAATATAAAAAGTAAAGAAAAAATTGCCTATTGTATATGTTTAATGACTGGTCCAAATGTTACCCTATCTTTATTGTTTTGTCATTTGAAGAATTAATCTTTCAGCAAATTAATAAATACTTAAATAATTTTTATATACCATGGCACACTGAATATATTCATTAGTCATATGATAACTATAATAGTTGGAGGTAAGAAAATATTTAGATCAGGGAGATTAGTGAGAGGGCAGAGTTGAACTGATACAGGCTTTTAAGAGTCAGGGAAAGATAAAATCATTAAAAATTTTCCTGAGGTGTCCAGCAAATTGTACTGCCAGGAATTGAATAGGTCCATGAAGAAACAGGTGAGTAAGTTAGTTCCTCTGCCTTCTAGAAGAAGCTCACACTCAAGTGGGAGAGATAACTTTAAATAGATGATTGTTACACAGTACGATAAATGCTATACTAAGTTATATGGAAGCTCAAACACAAGAAGTATTAAAATGCTTGAAGTAGTTATGGGAAGAATGAAAAAAAAAAAAAAAACAGGCATTAAACAGATTCCAGGCCGAGCATGTGGCATATACAAAGGTATAATGCTGTGACTAAACAGAACCAGGGAATGAGGCACAGGAAGGGGTTTAGCCAGTTTTACCTTGTGTACACACCCATCCTGACTTTGTTGTTTCATCATCATCATCCATGCAGTAACTTGAAAAGGGCTGTGCTGGCTTCTCCACACAACTGAGTCACACGTTGTGGCTAGAGTGTGGAAAATGCACTGAGAATCATGAGAGATGATACTAGAACTTATGTGGGGCTGGATTGTGACTGGCTTTATATGCCATCCTAAATTTCAGTTGGTGGTATCCTAGAAGCTCTGATTCTTTGAAAGTCATCTTGTACCAGAACCATAGAATTTATATTAGTTCTAAACCATTCATAATAAATTGAGAGACTCCATATTTCCATTAAAGTACTCCTAATAGTAGAGAAGAATGGATACTTGTCTTTAACTGATAAAGGCCCCATAAATTGCTAAGATTTCTTGGAAATCTCCATTTTATCCTAAATATTGATGTGACCTTTGCATTCTATTCCAATATTATAGCCATGCTTTTTTCATTGGAAAAAAATATTGCATATCACCTGGCAAAATTCATACTCCAAGAATATAATCCATATTTATCTCATGGCATTCAACGCACTCTACCTCATTGCCTATGGGTCTATGACATGTGTAGGTACCCCCAGGATTGCTACCAATGGGAAATTGGCATAGTGAAAAGTGCATGTGTCACATGGGCTCTTTCTCTCTTTTTGAAAAGAAGTGGTTAACTATTGTCAACAACCTTAGTGATTATTAGAGTAGCCTCAATTATTACACTTACAATTACTATTGTGAACATCATTAAGTTTGGATTAATCCCATATAATGTTGTTTAATGATGTGGATATGTCCTGAGAAATGCATTGTTAGGCAATTTCATCATTATGCAAACATCATAGTATGTTTCTACACAAACGTAGATAGTATAGCCTATTTATTACGCACCTAGGCTATATGTTATAGCCACCATTGTATATATGGTTCATCATTGACCGAAATGTCATTATGTGGCACATGACTGTGGTAGAAAAACTTTACACCAGCCACTTTGAAATCTATGAGATATTTAACATGCTTTTTTCTGTTGGTGATCCTAATTCATTATCCTGTGAGGAACCAAAAAGTTAAATCTTTCCTTCTTTTAGAAAAGTTCTTAGAACAACATTTCATGTGTTTAAGAATTGGAAATCCAATTCTAGGGAAAAAATTGTTCTACCAATGACTCTGCTACCCTTTTGTAAGAGTTAGTAGTAAGAGTAATTCAAGCTTTTTCCTGATAATTTGATTTGAAAATCTCTACCTACATTGTAGGAATGTTACTGTTGTGTATATTTCATGTCATTCAAACCTCAGAAACTGCTTTTTAGTTTCTAATTAATAAAATTAATTGTAGAACTTTTTTGGTGTCAACAATCTTTGAAAGTTTCCTTATTATTTGTCCTCCCAAATGTCTGTTTGAATCAGTAACCCAGCTTTAGAGGCAGTATAAAAATGAACAAGTTAATTTGTGCATTTCATATAAAAAGGCCCTCGTGATATGGCCTCGGGCTCTCTATCATAATAGTCAACAACTACTCAACCTACAAACTGCCCTTATTCTTGAGACTTCTAGAAATTTTTAAACACAGTATTCTTTCCCTCTGGCTACATAATATAGAAAGCAATAAGTATTATGTTAAAATTATAGTTAAGAGCTATGACAATAAATAGAAATTTGTAATAGGGTCTGGGTGTGGTTGTTCATGCCTATAATCACAGCATTTTGGAAGGCTGAATCAGGAGGATCACTTGAGGCCAGGAATTCAAGACTAGCCTGGGCAATATAGCAAGACCCCATCTCTACAAAAGATAAAACAGTTAGCTGGGCATGGTGGCCCATGCCTATAGTACTAGCTTCTTGGAAGGCAGAGGCAAAAGGATCATTTGAGCCCAAGAGTTGAAGGTTATAGCGAGCTGTTTTCTTGCCACTGTACTCCAGCCTGGGCAACAGAGTGAGACCCTGGCTCAAAAAATAATTAAAAAAAAAAAAAAAAAAGATGGGAGTAATGAACTTCTTAAATGGAGTGAACCAATATAAGGAGATAAGGAAACAAGCGTTCATCAGGAATAGCAAATTCTACATCTACATAGAATATAAAAATAAGTGATAAGGTTAGAATAGAAGAGAGTCAAATACAGAAGTAAGGACTTGGACCTTATTTTGGTGGAAAATTACAAGATTTTTAATCAAGGAAGAGATATGATCATCCTTACAAAAGTAAGCCCATCAGCAGTATATAGGATGTGTGAGGTAATAGGTAGAATTACTTGATGATTCTATTTTCTCCTCTAAATAAATGAGAATTTTATTTGAGATTATGACAATAAAGTAATGGTAATTGTATTATAATAGAAAATCTCTTCTTATAGAAAGTCATTCCCTCTAACAGGGAGACAAGAGGATTATTTCCATATTGTAGCCATTGCCAAACATTTTTGAATGTTTTTGCAAGTGCCTTCAGAACCCATTTTGCATTCTCTTGAGTGTTGTTTATGGTGATGAATAATATTTTTCTTTCACCACTGGTACAATCTTAAGACTAGCTTTTGCTTTGAAAGAACTGTTTTTCTAAAAATTCAAACATGTTGCTTCCACCTTCCTGCTGTAAATCCTCCTTTGCTTCCTGGAGACACACAAAAACTTTTGTTAATACTAGTTAACTTTATTTTATAAATATGTGGTTGCCTATGTGCCTTCTCTTATTAATAAGTATTTTATTCTCATAATTTGGCAAAGGATTGAACAAATTTTGAATAATAGAATAGTCTGGGTTTAATCTAATATTAAATATACAGTCATAAAATTTTTTTAAATTCAAAGAGTAAAAACAGTGAAAAGCAAAATAAGTCATTGTTTCTATGTAATTCTAAGTTTATTTGTAAACTTCCTAAGAGAATTCTGTTCATGGAAATAATAACATTTTAATCAGTTTTAACTAGTGTTTTCAAACATGTATAATGATTAAGGAGAATATGTGGGCATGATTTTCTTTTTAAGGAAAAAGAACGATTGAAGCAAGAAAAACGTGATGAGAAAAGATTAAATAAAGAGCGTAAACTAGAGCAAAGAAGATTAGAATTAGAAATGGCAAAGGAGCTAAAGAAGCCTAATGAAGACATGTGCTTAGCAGACCAAAAGGTAATTTATACAGCATGTAAGCCATTTCATTAATAAGTTTAATATTTCCCGTTTTCTCACCTGATTCCTTTGCCAGAGCTGCCATTGTGAAAGCCTCTCATTTTTAACTAGAGCAATGAAATTCCAAGTTTAGATCTATTTACTTCTCTACCAATGAACCTCTCTGGAGCTCATTATCAGCTATGCTGATAATGGCAATTCTTAATATGTAAGTGGAACACTCCACACATTTTAAATTTAAGTAGAAATACTGCAGAAATCTACAAAGAAGAGTGATAGAAGTAGATAGGATTTTCATGTTTCTTTTGGTCCTTTCCAGGTATTCAGGCATAGAAAGATCTGACTTCTCCCTATTTCCCCATATATGTTTAAATAAATTAGAATTTATAATCTATAAGCACCTTCAATGCTTTAGTAATGGTAGCCAGTCTTTACCAAGCATGTTTACTATATGGCAGGCACTGTGCAAAGCACTTATATGAATTCTAATCCTCAACACAGTCCTGTAGAATTGGTATTTATTCCCATTTACAGATAAGAAAACTGAGACACAAAGAGGTTAAGGAATTTGCCCAAGATTATACAACAAATAAATGGCAATTTAGATTCAAGCCCCCATTTGTTAAACTTTAGAGTCCATTATGTTTGTCATCCTAGAAGCTAAGAAACTATGTCTAACCAAAGCATCTCATATGTTTTCTCTTGCATGGTGCTTCACAGACAAGTATTATTGCTAAAATACATAAAAGTAGAAATTTACAGAGATTGCAAAGATCTTGGCAACTGACATGATTTCATGTACTTTTGAGTAGAAATCAATTATGTTTTGACTATAGTAAAGAAGATGGTACTTCCAGAAAATTATATTACATCAATAATGCATATCATCTCTATAATACTGTCCTATAATATATCATTATACTTGGTCAGTAACATCTCTATTAACTTATATGTCATAATCATCTGATACACAAAAATGATTGTCTCTTAATTTATATAAGTTCTTTTCTAAAGTGCTTAAACTTTTAGTACCCTAGTGGGGATTGAATTATATTAATATTCTATTTACTTACTTAGCATAAATGCTTCTACATAAAGATGAAAGAATACATACTAGTTCTAGTCGTTTGGATGCTTAAATTTCCTTAAACAGAGAATAGGTATATAAATTAATTAACATATTTAATAAGTTCATAGTGAGCAAGTTTTTTAAATCCTAAGTGAGCTTTATTTTTCTTGCATCTTTTCTTTTTATTTAAATTCATATGCACTGGCCGGGGTGCGGTGGCTCATGCCTATAATCCTAGCACTCTGAGAGGCCAAGGCGGGCGGATTGCTGGAGGTCAGGAGTTCAAAACCAGCCTGAGCAAGAGCGAGACCCCGTCTCTACTAAAAATAGAAAGAAATTAATTGGCCAACTAATATATATAGAAAAAATTAGCCGGGCATGGTGGCGCATGCCTGTAGTCCCAACTACTCGGGAGGCTGAGGCAGTAGGATTGCTTGAGCCCAGGAGTTTGAGGTTGCTGTGAGCTAGGCTGATGCCACAGCACTCTAGCTTGGGCAACAAAGCGAGACTCTGTCTCAAAAAATAAATAAATTCATATGCACTATATCAAATACGTAAGTCCATTTAAAGCTATACATTTATTAGATTTATTACATGAAGTTTTAGAATTATATAGAAATACATATGTCTTATATGGTTTGAGAAAAAGGGAGACTTTGAATTAACTGATTTTCAAGTGGAATGTAAAAGATTTGTATGGCATCAGCTATTATCCATAGTTTTGATTTTCTACTCAATATTGATGGAAAAAAATCTTTGCTTAGTTACTTTAGTAAATACAGGGTGGAGGAATATTTTTGAACAAGGGACCACCAATTCAGATAATAGAAATATTTATAAGTCACTTTCTTCCAATTAAAATTGAAAGTACTTTTTTTTAAATCACATTCATAGACAAAAATATTTTTAATTTAATTTAGATTTTTTTTTTTTTTTTTTTTTTTTGAGACAGAGTCTCGCTTTGTTGCCCAGGCTAGAGTGAGTGCCGTGGCGTCAGCCTAGCTCACAGCAACCTCAAACTCCTGGGCTCGAGTGATCCTTCTGCCTCAGCCTCCCGGGTAGCTGGGACTACAGGCATGCGCCACCATGCCCGGCTAATTTTTTATATATATATCAGTTGGCCAATTAATTTCTTTCTATTTATAGTAGAAACAGGGTCTCGCTCTTGCTCAGGCTGGTTTTGAACTCCTGACCTTGAGCAATCCGCCCGCCTCGGCCTCCCAAGAGCTAGGATTACAGGCGTGAGCCACAGCGCCCAGCCTAGATTTTTAATTAATTTAATTTTTAATAATTTAATTTAGATTACCTATTTATTGAATTTTTAAAATGTCTATGACAACTGGTACTACAATTTAGTCATTAAAATGTTAACATGTAAGCATATTTGAGAAGTAGCAACAGAGACAGCTTTCTAATTTTAATACTGAAACTTATATTAATGTTTTGCTAAATATAGGGAAACCTAAAGTTGCATTAAATGTGGGTTTATGTTCAGGGTCATGGGTTCTGGTCATGTGGACCTAGGAATTTATCTGCATTTATTAGCCATATATAGCCTGCCAGAGAGCTCATGATGCCTGCTGTTAGTTTTTGAGCTACCAAAAAAGTAAAGCTTCTGTGAATTTTAATTGAATTTTAAATGTCTCCATCATTAGAAGAAATCTGACACATAAGCCCCTACTACATATGTCCTTGATAAAGTACTTTTGAAATACTTATTTCTTGCTATTTAATTTTTGCTCCAGTGATATAATCCATGTTTTATCAGTATGTAAATTAATTAAAATTAGTGTCTCTCTTACAGAGATCTCAGTTCATATTAAATTCAACCAAAAATTGACTGATGGTTATTTGTGTTCAAGTTACTATGGTTAGTACCCTGGAGGTTACAGAAATACCTCCAAGGAATTTACCATCCCAAGGGAAAACCACTGGTACAATACTCTAGAAAAAAGATAGCAGTTTTTTTTCTTTCAAACGATACAAAATCGTGTCTTTTAAATTTTTTGAGATTTTTTTTTGTTTTATTTATATATTCTTTTATTTTCAGCCTTTGCCAGAGTTGCCTCGTATTCCAGGACTTGTTCTCTCTGGAAGTACATTTTCAGACTGTCTCATGGTGGTGCAGTTCTTACGAAACTTTGGTAAAGTTTTGGGCTTTGATGTGAATATTGATGTTCCAAACCTGAGTGTTCTTCAAGAGGGATTGCTAAATATAGGGGACAGCATGGGTGAAGTACAAGACTTGCTTGTGAGGCTCCTCTCAGCTGCTGTATGTGATCCAGGTCTAATTACAGGATACAAGGTAAAAAATATATATATAAAAAATTTTTTGAAATTTGTACTATTAGTGCATCAATAGCTAGCTTTTAGCAAATTAGCAGAAGATTGTGTAGAAGCATCTAATTTTTCACGTAATGTCTCACAAAGTTAAATGTAGACTTGTATCAAGTTGTATTAATATTTGGTACAGAGAAACCTGGTTATAAACCTTAAGGAATATAAACCATTCTCAAATTACTCTTTCTTCCTATAGCTATAGGCAAAGACTAAGTTGATTTAAGGCAATACCCAAATGATATTCATCAAAAACAGAGAATTCATTATTCACAAGGCAGTTAGAATTTCTTTGTGCCTCCTGAAATTATATTTTGTTTTCTCTCAATCACTGCACATAACTGAGGCTAATCAGGGTACCTACAGACCAGGATTTTAAGACTCTGTGCTGTTCAATGGATATTCAATAAGTTCGTTCCAGTTAAGATACACATTCCAGTTAGCTTTGCTCTTCTAGGTAATATCATAGAGAGAGAAGCTTCCAGATGGACCTGTTAGTTTTTCCTCCATATCCATATTCATTCAGTTTACCAAGCAGTGAAACCTATGAGACTGAAAAGCTAGAAAGCACAATAATAATGCTTTTAAACCTCACCACTCTTCCATGACTAATAAAATGTCTAGATAAATCTGGAGAAAAGCTTGAGATAGTTTCTATAGTCAGAGAAGGCTTGATAGATTATTTAAAACTTCTGCTACCCATAAGTATACATACTCTTCTTCCTGCATGACATTAAACCAATGGTTTAGAGAGGGAATAGAAAGATACAAGTACTTGAATATTTGTCTATCATCTATTGCCTATTTTTATGTCTACTTCATCAAAAATGTGAATTAAGTTTTAGCTGGGTGTGGTGGCACACGCTTGTAGTCCCAACTACTCAGGAGGCTGAGGCAGGAGGATTCCTTGAGCCCAGGAGTTTGAGGTTGCAGTAAGCTATCATGACACTACTGAATTCTGGCCAGGCAACAGAGCAAGACTCTATCTCAAAAAAAAAAAAAAAAAGTGAATAAAGCCCTTTTCAGTAATATCTAGAACATGTAATACACGTATTTTTAATCTTACTGTTTTTATGTTCTGAATGGCTGTGATCAATACTGATAAAAATGCCAAATTTTTATAGGCCAAAACAGCTCTTGGAGAACATTTACTGAATGTTGGCGTGAATCGAGACAATGTTTCCGAGATTTTGCAGATTTTTATGGAAGCCCACTGTGGACAAACTGAGCTTACTGAAAGCCTAAAGACCAAAGCTTTTCAGGCTCATACTCCAGCACAGAAAGCCTCAGTCCTGGCTTTCCTGATCAATGAATTGGCATGCAGCAAGAGTGTGGTGAGGTAAGAATATACCTAGACTTTCCTGTTATTCTTTTCTGTTTTGATTTTGTCTGATCACAAAGTATTACAAATTGATTATATAAAATTTGGAAGTTACAGACTAACACAAAGAAAATTAAAATTATACCATTTAGAGATGGCCACTAATCATAACATTAATGTAATTTCTTTGTGGTCTATTGGGAAAAAAATTGGATCATACTGTATATATGTAACCTGTAGTCTTTGTCACCTGTTTTGTTTAATAATTTTATTAATTCTTTATATACTAGAAATTTTTAATATTTTTTCTTGCTATGGTGCCAGAATTTAGCACCATCATAAGGATCCAGAATTTTTCTTTCCTTGACATCTTTTGAGTCAGATGACGTCCTGATTATCTTTAGTAGCCATTGATAGAACTATCCAGCCATAATTTGTTTCGTTATATGCAAATATAACCCCAGATTATTAGTTTATCAGTATATTAATTTGTACTTTTTTTAAAAATACTTAATCTCAAGGCCGGGCGCTGTGGCTCACGCCTGTAATCCTAGCTCTTGGGAGGCCGAGGCGGGCGGATTGCTCAAGGTCAGGAGTTTCAACAACCACGAGCAGACGAACCCCGTCTCTACTATAAATAGAAAGAAATTAATTGGCCAATTGATATATATATAAAAATTAGCCGGCATGGTGGCGCATGCTGTAGTCCAGCTACTCGGGAGGCTGAGGCAGAAGGATCGCTCGAGCCCAGGAGTTTGAGGTTGCTGTGAGCTAGGCTGACGCCACGGCACTCACTCTAGCCTGGACAACAAAGGGAGACTCTGTCTCAAAAAAAAAAAAAAAAAAAAAAAAACTTAATCTCATTTAAGAGTCAAAGTAAGGCCGGGCACTGTGGCTCACGCCTGTAATCCTAGCTCTTGGGAGGCCGAGGCGGGCGGATTGCTCAAGGTCAGGAGTTCAAAACCAGCCTGAGCAAGAGCGAGACCCGTCTCTACTATAAATAGAAAGAAATTAATTGGCCATGATATATATAATATAATAAAATTAGCCGGGCATGGTGGCGCATGCCTGTAGTCCCAGCTACTCGGAGGCTGAGGCAGAAGGATCGCTCGAGCCCAGGAGTTTGAGGTTGCTGTGAGCTAGGCTGACGCCACGGCACTCACTCTAGCCTGGACACAAAGCGAGACTCTGTCTCAAAAAAAAAAAAAAAAGAGTCAAAGTAAGTCCTCTACTCTAGTACTTGTTACTAGTGAAATATTAATACTAATACCAACCTGTACCATAGTCTTTCAAGGTTTGTGAACAAATTCATGTTTATCTTATCCTTGCTATTTGTTGTTTTACAAATTTTAATTATATTACTTTTAGTCCTTTACCTTTCTAGAAAAAAGGATCAGTCTGACTATTCAAAGCCAAGCATTTCTACCATTACTAGATATTATATGTTTTTTGTCCATATCTTAGCTGTGATACTATATAATTTTTCATTTGTTTTTGCTATTCATTGACTATCATCCCAAAGAGTATAATTATACTTAAGTTTTACAATTTCATGAAAGAATAATTTCATTAAGCATGAGCGTGGCAACAAATAGTAATGCTGAGTAGCAATTGTTGATCACACTCAAACGCACATACAAATTCAATGTAAATGGTACACTGTGGTTTTTACCTTAGAAGAAAAAAGTACCCCTCTTTGACTTATTGCTATCACTAGATATCATAATATTCTTAATTTGTTTGGACATTTATATACACACACTCAGATTTTACATGTACATATGTATATATGTGCACCTACATAAGTATCCATGTATTAATATGTTCTGATTTCCTCTTTTGATGGAAATATCACATCTTAAATGTATGCAAAACTTGGAATGTTATCTTTCTAAGGCAATTGGTGGATAGTTTTTTCATGGTTTAAGTTAGAAACCAAAGTGAATTTTCTAATACTAATGTTGTATCCAATGAAGAAATTATCACTTTTCAACATATATGTGCATACATATGCAAACACATACAATATGTATATATACACACACACAATTGTATCATTTTTACTTACCAAAAATGCATTAGTTTGCATTCCAAAATAATGCATTGCATAAATGGATTAATTTATATCTTTTAATAAATTTTTACATTGGCAGTGAAATTGACAAGAACATCGATTATATGTCAAACTTGAGGAGAGATAAATGGGTGGTGGAAGGTAAACTCCGCAAGTAAGTCCTGTTTTATTAAAATTAAACTACTGTTTTTCTTTTGTATAAGTTCCCAGTAAAGAAAACGAATTGCAGGCCGGGCGCAGTAGCTCACGCCTATAATCCTAGCACTCTGGGAGGCCGAGGCGGGCGGATTGCTCCATGTCAGGAGTTCAAAACCAGCCTGAGCAAGAGCAAGACCCTGTCTCTACTATAAATAGAAAGAAATTAATTGGCCAACTAATATATAGGAAAAATTAGCCAGGCATGGTGGCGCATGCCTGTAGTCCCAGCTAGTCAGGAGGCTGAGGCAGCAGGATTGCTTGAGCCCAGGAGTTTGAGGTTGCTGTGAGCTAGGCTGATGCCACGGCACTCACTCTAGCCTGGGCAACAAATCGAGACTCTGTCTCAAAAAAAGAAAAAAAGAAAAAAAAGAAAATGAATTGTAAAGATAGGATTTAAACTTTAATTATCTAAAGAAAAGATAGTACTTAATTAGGATGGTGTATGAAATTAATAAAACTCTGGGCCAGAATTTGCAATGGGCAAAAGATATAATGAAATTCATTGAGCTTATATCTTCATACTTAGAAGAAAATCATTTTCTCCTTTTCTTTCAAAGAAGTCAAGCAATCACATTTTCTAAGATTGTTGTTGCTATCATGTCACTTTTATCATAAATAGAATCTGTTTGGAACTACCGCTTTTTAAAATTGCTTTCTAATTAAAATGTTTTACATAGTCTAAATAAACTTATTCAACATTAAGACTAAATTATATTCCTGCAAGGAAATCTCATGCTAAAATTACTCAACTTCTATGGTAAGAGTATAGTTTCTTTACAGTAATTTGGATTGAAATTTATTCAGTCAGATAGCATAGGATCTGAAATTATCACTTGGCCATTTTTAGAATTCATCTTTTCAGCTTTCATAGTATTTTTAAATGTGTTCTAATTCCAAAGAGATATCCAGAATAACTCTTGAAAGTTAATATATTCTGTAATTTATGGAAACACATTTCTTAAGTTTCCTTAATGCTAAGTTTTATTGCCATTGATATATTGCTTATCATAAAAAAATACTAAAACTCATGTTTTAGTTTTTAAAAAGTATATAGAGAAGGATTTTATTCCATATCATCATTTTTTATAATATTTAAAGGCTCAGAATCATTCATGCTAAGAAAACGGGCAAAAGAGACACTTCAAGTGGCATTGATCTTGGAGAAGAGCAGCATCCCTTGGGCACACCCACTCCAGGACGCAAAAGAAGAAGGAAGGGAGGAGACAGTGATTATGATGATGATGATGATGATGATAGTGATGACCAAGCTGATGAAGATGATGAGGATGAAGAAGATAAAGAAGACAAAAAAGGAAAGAAGACTGATATTTGTGAAGATGAGGTAATCAAATTTAGGTTGATTTGAAGACTTAACAAAAACTGCATAACATATTAAAAAACAGAATTTGGAGTCAAATGGATTTGGATTTGAATTCAGTTTTGACATTTACTTGCCTCAGTTTCTTATCTGAAAAATGATTATAATATTTATCTTATAAAGTTTTTTGTGGTTCTGTAAATATTAGATAGAATGCCTATACATAAAAAGTGCTTAGACTTAATAAAAGAAGTTAGTGTTTTTTTGTATATAATTACTTGAGAATTCTCTCCAAAGAGCTGTGCAGGTTCTTAATTTCAGATGTTCTCTCTAATTCTATTAACATACTGTGTTACATTCGTACAATGCTTCATGCCTTTAAAAGTGTTGTCAGGTTTAGTGATAATGATATATTTCTCAAACAAACACCAGTTATATTTTTCTAGTTCTAGGCACTCTTAATCAAGGATGAATAAAACACTGAAAGTCCCCTCTCAATTTACAGTGTTACTGAGGAAGGTTTACAAAAAGAAGATGTGATATGTTAATGTTTTAACTGCTTTGAGAGGAGTGTTTGCAATGGACTAGGCAGGTTCAAAGGAAAGGCATTTAGACTTTTGATGGAATAAATTCCCACAAAGGGTTTCAGGACCCAATAGCTGAGGCTACAAACTGGGTCAAATGTTAACCTGGGGAAAAATCCAGGGAAGAGTATGCCAGGCAGAGGGAATGGCATGAGCAAGGACACAGAAACATGAAACCACATGTTTTAAGGGAATTACAAGTGCCTCACTGTTACTGAAGAGTCTTATACATAACAATGAACTAGGATTTTATGCTTTTTTGGTAATAGGAAACCATTGCAGGGTTATAAGAAGCAGGGAATAACATGGTCAGACTTGATTGAGTGGCTCACTTTGGCGGCTTTGTGGAAGATAGAAATGGGGCAGGGCAACATTAGAGGTGTGAAGATCAGTCAAGAGGTGTTGTAATAGTTTAAGTGAGTTGTGAGGGGAAGAAACTAGAGCGATGATAGTTGGGATGAAGAAGGAAAGAATGTAATAAATATTTAGGAGGAAGAACAGGCAGGATTTGAAGATGAACTTTGTAGGTTTGGTGGAAGGGTAGGAGTGATTTCTAGCTATCAGGCTTGCTATTATTGTTGCCATTAACACAGTAAATGAAAAATTGGGGTAGTGGTAGATAAGGGAACAGATAATTAAAGACACAAAATCATGATAGTTTTATTTTTGAACATGTGGAGTTTGAGGTACCTGTGCTGAAGTTCAGCAGTCGGTTGAATTTAGGAACCTGAAGAGTTCAGTCTTAGAAATACATATCTGAAAGTTATTAGCACATAGATGATAGTTTAAGATCATGAGGTAGATGAGGTTGCACAGGGGGATTCTCTTCTCTTCTCTTCTTTTCTTCCTTTCTTCTTTGTTATTCCTTTAGCCATCCTAACAGGTGTGAGATGATAGATCAGCGTGGTTTTGGTTTTCATTTCCCTATTTAGTGTTATTAAATACACTTTCATACACCTCTTCGCCATTTATATATCTTCACTAGAGAACTGTCTATTTGGGTTCTTTGCCCATTTTTTAACCGGGTTACCTAGTTTTTTATGGAGTTGCAAGAGTTCCTTATATATTTTGGATATTAACCCCTTATCAAATATATATGGTTTGCAGATATTTTGTCTCATTCTATAGGTTGCCTTTTCAGTTTGTTAATTATTTCCTATGCTGTGCAGAAGCTTTTTAGTGTGATATAGTACCACTTGTCTATTTTTGCTTTTATTTCCTATGCTTTTGGTGTCATATCCAAGACTTCATTGCAGTGAATTTACTTTACGACTTTTATGAATACCAATCTAAAAATGAGACTATGTTGAGATTTCCTTGCAGAAATAAATTATTTCATAATGCTGTACTTTGGAAACTACTGGATCATATATTAATACATTCATCCTATGACAAATAATATGAAGGGTATATAATTTAGGCATCAGAATTATAATTACCCAAACAAAAGATACCATTAATAAGCAGTCTGTTTCATTTGCAAGTGATGCTGTTTCCATAGCAAGAATTAACCCTTTCTCACCAAAATTAATCACCTTTTCACAGAATTAGTATACCCTTTTGGCACTTAATAATATTATAAATTGTTTTAAAGTGTTAACTCTCATAAATTTGACAGCTCTATATTGGGTTTTCAGTGTATTCCACTGGGTAGTTATCCAACTAAACTAGAATTTATTTATAGAAATGATTTGTTTTACCTGGCTTTTTTTAAACAGAGACTTAACACACCATACATTTTATTCTTTATACATATACTATTTGAAATCATCATTAATATTTCTTAGTATTTTACTTTTTTATGAGTATTGAATTATAGAGTTTAATAGATTGTAGGATTTCATTGGCAAAGGTATATTTTGTTATGAATGTGAGGAAACAATTTTAAAACTTTTAAAACTAATAAATATTTTGGGACCTAAGAAGCCAAATGAACATTTCTTATAAGTGATTTGCATTATTCTTTATAATAAAGAGCTGGCAGACACTTACCAATTACCTGTATAATGACTACTTAATGAATCTGATTCATAAATAGGCACATTGGCTCTCAAAAAATAGGTTTATCTTCTTGATTAAGTTGTAGGTAGAGTATTGGTGGTGGTTAAATTCCCTAAAGGAGTAATTGCAGAGTTTTCCATTGAGACCCATATGATACTTTCAGTTAGAAGATGCTGCCCTTGACTAAGTCATAGACCTTTGTCTCAAAGATGATTCCCTCTCCTCAGACTTCATTCCTTCAACACATGGAGTCTTCCTTTAATACTTAAATTCGTGTTGAGGACCTATATGAGCTTTAACTTCACAAGTTGGCATATAAGAGGTTTTGTGGACGATTAAACTCTGACACATAGGGACATATAATGGCCTTATTTTTTGATTGAGAAACTGTGGGGAACCATGGCAGGGATAGATGCTGTGTTCTTAGTTTTATTGTTGTTGCTGCTGCCTTTCTCTCTGGTCTTCTAAGTTCTTTTATACTCTGAAAATTCTAAGTGCTATTAGCCAAAACTCTTTTAAATAAAACCTTAGTAGACATTTTATTTCTTTCTCATTGTAAGAGTCTTAAAAATGACTGTTAATTTATTTGGCTGTTATCTGGCTATTTCAAATATTTGATGTCTTCAAATATTTATTGATTGAAGTATATTTTTTATAAGCAGATTATCAAACATTTGCCCTGCTGATCAAAATATCACTTTGAAATCAATATATAAATATATGTTTGAGAGTCAAGATTTAATTTTTGTTGAGCCTATTATCTTTTAAGGTTTCTTTTAATCCCAAATAGAATTTATGTTACTGTTAGCACCAATAATATACCTAAACACCTTCCTAACTTGGTCTCCTAAATTTGGATAAGGAGTGGATAAATGATAGATAACAATAGCACTGTTGGGGACTTCTTTTCATTTCATTTTATTGCGTAGATAGCCATACTGGTCTAGAATAAATATTCACAAATGGTTGGTGGCAATATGGCTTTTTAAAAGTGCCTATAGGGCCGGGGCGGTCGCTCACGCCTGTAATCCTAGCACTCTGGGAGGCCAAGGCGGGCGGATTGCTCGAGGTCAGGAGTTCGAAACCAGCCTGAGCAAGAGTGAGACCCCATCTCTACTATAAATAGAAAGAAATTAATTGGCCAACTAACATATATATAGGAAAAATTAGCCGGGCATGGTGGCGCATGCCTGTAGTCCCAGCTACTCAGGAGGCTGAGGCAGCAGGATCGCTTGAGCCCAGGAGTTTGAGGTTGCTGTGAGCTAGGCTGATGCCAAGGCACTCACTCTAGCCTAGGCAACAAGGCGAGACTCTGTCTCAAAAAAAAAAAAAAAAAGTGCCTACAGAAAGTAAATATCAAAAACAACTTCTGTTTTTTTAAAAACTGAGCTGTGCCTGCATCTTCTTATTAAAGAAGGGACTCTGTTGCTTTCAGATATTTTTATTAGTCCTCACAAAAATTCAATGTTACAGATGTTATCACCAATTTACAGATAAGGGAATAGTCTTAGAAAAGTTAAGTAATTTGCATGTATCAAGTAGTGCAGCTAAGATTAAAAGAAGACCGTGTACTCTATTCATGGTTTCCCTCTAAAACATGTAATTTGGGGGTAGTTTTTCTATTTCCATATTTCAGAATGAAATAGTATATGTAATCACATACAAACTTTCTATTTATGAAATTAGTGCTATGTATACTTGGGATTATTTGTATTCTAATAGCAAAATGTGTTCAAAATATACCTTCTTTACTCTAAAAATGGCCCGTTCAGTTAATGGTAGCAATATTTTTTGCAGTCTTCTAGATTTAAAACCTTAACATCATAATTTGCTCCTTCCATCATCTCCCTCACACCTCCTTGCCTCAAATTCATAAGTTACCAGGACTTAACAGTTCTATACCTACGTAATATCCTCTTCCATCCATTTGCTTTTTTCCATTTTTCTTTCTCTTACCCTAATAAGGCCCATGTCTCCTCTCTCTCTTGAATCATTGCAGCAATCTATTTATTAGCTGGTTTTGCTCATTTCTCTGCTCCAAGCCATCTTACAACTGTTGCCATATTAATTTTGTAAAGCAGAGTTCTGATATTTAACCTCCCTCAGAGGATCATATTATTTTTCATTGTCAAGCATTTACAGCTCTTCACAATCTAGCCCAAAACTCATCTTGCCTCATCTCCTACCTTACCTCTCCTTATGCACCTTTCATGTCAAGATATATCCAACTCTTTATGGAATGCCCTATCCTCTTTCCTCATATTGATAAATTTCTAACCATTCTTGTGCATTGTAGGAGGTTAAAAAATATAAAAAATAAATTTCTAACTATTCTTTAGTAGCTAATTAAAATATAACTTCATCCATATAACCTCTCTTAGTATAGATTTCCACTAAAAGTAATCTCACCCTTCCCTGAACTCCATGGTTTTTATTTAATCTCTATGTCTTTTGAAGTCCTTATAGCTTCCTACTATTTAGGTTGTTTTTTTTTTTTTTTTTCAGTGTAATGTTTTGTGTCTCCTTACCACATTATTAGCTTATAGAGAAGAACTGGGTCTTATTTGTTTCTTCAGTACCTCTCCTACTACTTTACATATAGGAGATATTCATTAAATACTTACTGATTGATTGAATAAATAAATCAGAAAAACAGATAAATGATACTGTATTTTCTTATGTATAGGATGAAGGCGACCAAGCAGCAAGTGTTGAAGAGCTAGAAAAACAGATTGAAAAACTGAGTAAAGTAAGCACTTTTCAGATTAATGTTTGCATTTTTTGTAGTGTTTTAAAAATCTGCATTGTATGGGGCATTAGTTTTTTTTTCTGACCGCTAAATAAAAACAAGCTTTTTGTTACTAACTAAAATGAAGAGCTCCAGAAATATTCTCACGATTAAACCTTAAAAGTTTAATGCCAAAGTTAAAGGCCTGCCTCTTAACACATGATATTGAACTTAATTAGAGCCCATGGAAAAACATTCTGTATTTTTCAGCTCTTCATATAAATACAGAGTTTCAATACAGACATAGTTTTATTTCTTGAAATTAATTACTCAAAAAATTCAGATGGGCCGGGCATAGTGGCTCATGCTTGTAATCCTGAGAGGCCGAGGCAGTCGGATTGCTCAAGGTCAGGAGTTTGAAACCAGCCTGAGTAAGAGTGAGACCCCGTCTCTACTATAAATAGAAAGAAATTAATTGGCCAACTAATATATATATAGAAAAAATAAGCTGGGCATAGTGGCGCATGCCTATAGTCCCAGCTACTCGGGAGGCTGAGGCAGTAGGATTACTTGAGCCCAAGAGTTTGAGGTTGCTGTGAGCTAGGCTGATGCCACGGCACTCACTCTAGCTTGGGCAACAAAGCGAGACTCTGTCTCAAAAAAAAAAAACTTCCCATGAATTTCATGGTAATAGTTTTAGCATCTTAGGTTTTATTTTACATTTTTATATTTGTGGATTTTATTTGCATTGGATTATAAACTGTACATATTTATGTACTTCTCATTAAAAACTAAATTTCCAGTAGCATTAGTGAAGTTTAAGATGAGCTTTCATAAAGAAAAAAATGAATTTGTATAAGTATTATGAGATGCCTATGTGTTGTATAAATGTTAGATTTATCACAGATCTATCCCCAAACTTTGTCATGTGTTGTCTAAGTTTACAGCATGAGTATAAATATAAGTAAATACAGGTTTTGTCAATTACAAATATAAATATTATTTGTTATGTACTATAATCAATAGAATTGAGCCAGTTTGCTTTGATATAGTACAATACTGATTATATTATTATTATCAAGTATAAAACATGTTTTATTGTAAGATCCTGATAAAATAAAACTTATCCTTTTAATCCACGGCAACAAACATATTGCAATTGTATCAAAATAATTTCTATCTTTATAAATGTTACTGTAATTGAAGTCAGGAATGTAATTTAGCCCTTTTGCTGTCTTATCTCAGTAGTGAAATTTGTGTATTCTAAAGGCATAGTAACTATAAAGTTCCTTTTAATTTTTAAAGCACTTAACATCCATAACATAATTATATGTACCATTTACAGCAACAGAGTCAGTACAGAAGGAAGCTCTTTGATGCTTCTCACTCTTTACGTTCGATGATGTTCGGCCAGGATCGTTACAGACGACGATACTGGATTCTTCCCCAGTGTGGGGGGATTTTTGTAGAAGGCATGGAGAGTGGTGAAGGTAGGAACTCTTAATCTATTACAAAGCATTAAATACAAAACTGTATTTTTAAAAACCCTGTTACTTCTTCATTATATTTTGTGCTTCCATAATCAAGTATCTTTTATTGATAAACATTGTAAAACCTTGATTTCCCATTTCTTTTGAATTCATAATGTCCCTTTCAGGGATAAACATCCTCACTGCCCTTGATTTTTCCTTTGCCACTCTTTCTGACATAAAACATAAGCTATTTTTTTATTATTTACTGGACAAAGAGCTTCACCTGTATTATCCTTTATAGCTGTTGCTCCATTTTTCTTTCTTCCTATTGTCAAACTTCTTACTATGTGGTTTATTCTTTAACTGTTGAAACAAGCATCCATCCTGACAGTACCCCTGGAAGAAACTTGTTTAAATCTAAGATCTTTATTGTAATCCTCATTCCTTTTCTAACATTGTTCATGTTTAAAATTTGTGATCACTTTCTTCTCCTTTAAACTTCCTTCCTTGAATTTTGTGTTACCAGAAATTCTTGATAGTCTACCTTTAGACTATTCTTTTGCTTCTCCATTTCTGTTACATTAACTACCACAGTACATTGTACATTTATGTGTTCAATAAACCTTCTTGAACTTTTCAAAAGTCTATGTTTTAACATTTCCAAATGTCTATATTCTGATGAGAACAAAAGTGCTATTTCAGTGCTTACAGATTTCAGAATGTAGCTATCGACCCATGGCAGTACATGGAAGCAAAAACTTTCAATACATTTTTTTTACTACCTACTGTATGGTAGGCACTACAGGAGGCACAAAGCTATATAAAACATAATCCGTGTCATGTAGAGGTTTACAGTCCAGTGGAGAGAGATGATTGGTTAATCACATAGGTAACTTTAATAGAAATTATAAATAAAGCAATTGTTTTTGAGCTTTTTGTTTTTAGCAGTGGAATCGCCTCTTTTTTTTTTTTAAATAGATTTAAGGGGTACAAGTTAGATTACATTACATGTGTATATCGTATCATGGTAAAGTCTGGGCTTTTAGTGTATGCCCATCACCTGAATAGTTTACATTGTACCCAATTTTTCATCCCTCATCTTTTCCTACCCTCACTCCTTTTGAGTTTCCAACATCCATTATACCACTCTGTGTGCACTGTATAGACATAGTTTTGGTCCCACTTATAAATGAGAATGTGTGACATTTATTTTCTGTTCCCAAGTTACATCACTTAGGATAATGGCCTCTAATTCCATCCAAGTTGCTGCAAAAGACATTATTTCATTATTTCTTATTGCCGAGGAGTAGTCCATGGTGTATCTTACATATATATACCACATTTTCTTTATCCACTCATCAGTTGATGGTTATTTAGTTTGGTTTTATATCTTTGCAAATGTGAATTATGCTGCCATAAACATACAAATGCAAATATCTTTTTGATAAAACAATTTCTTTACCTGTGGGTAGACATCCAGTAGTAGGATTGCAGGATCAAATGATAGAGCTACTTAGTTCTTTGAGAAATGTCCATATTGATCTCCACAGAAGTCGTTCTAATTTACATTCCCACCAACAGTGTGTAAGTGTTCCCTTTTTAGCACATGTGCACCGACATGTGCTGTTTTTTGGCTTTTTCATAATGGTCATTCTTGCCCATCTCAGTATTGGGGAAAAAGGAGAAAGAAAGAAATAATAGTGGCCATTTTGACAGGGGTAATGTAGTATCTCATTGTGTGTGGGGGGGGTTGTTTTGTTTTTTGAGTTTATATTTTCATGTTTCTTCATGATGGTGAATATTGAGCTTTCATTTACATGTTTAAGACACATTTGAGCATTTTCTGAAGGGTAGGTCTAGTGATGAATTCTCTCAGCATTTACTTATCTGGAAAAGACTATTTTTTCTTCATCTATGAAGCTTATTCTGTCAGTGTATAAAATTCTTGTCTGGCAGGTTTTTTTCCTTCAGCGCTTTGAAAAATACCATCTTGTTCTCTCTGGGCTATGAGGTTTCTGCTGAGAAGTATGCTGTTAGTTTGATGGGGTTTCCTTTATAGGTGACTAGGTACTTTTGTCTTGCTAATTTTAAAATTCCTTCTTTTACTTGGACTTTAGTCATTCTGATTATAATATGCCATAATGAAGTCCTTTTTGCAGTGTATTTGCCTAGGAGTTATTGGGCCTTTTGTATCTGAATGTCTAATTCTTTTGCTAGTCCTGGGAAGTTTTATAGATTATTTCCTTAAATAGATTATCTAAACTTTTTATCTCTCTTCCCCCTGGGGAATACCAATAATTCATAAGTTCGATCACTTTATTTAGTCCCAGGTGTCTCAAAGGCTTTGCTTTGAGACATTCTTTATTTTTTTTTTTTGAGACACAGTCTTGCTTTGTTGCCCAGGCTAGAGTGAGTGCCATGGCGTCAGCCTCGCTCACAGCAACCTCAGTCTCCTGAGCTCAAGCAATCCTACTGCCTCAGCCTCCCGAGTAGCTGGGATTACAGGCATGCGCCACCATGCCCGGCTAATTTTTTCTATATATATTAGTTGGCCAATTAATTTCTTTCTATTTATAGTAGAGACGGGGTCTCGCTCTTGCTCAGGCTGATTTCGAACTCCTGACCTCAAGCAATCCGCCCGCCTCAGCCTCCCAGAGTGCTAGGATTACAGGCGTGAGTGAGCCACCACACCCGGCCGAGACATTCTTTTTTATTCTTTTTTTCTTTTCTTTTCTTTTTTTTTTTTTCTTTGTCTGACTGGATTATTTCAAAAGACCTGTATTCAAGTTCTGAGATTCTTTCTCTTCTGCTTGATCTGTCTGTTTTTGAACATGTTGTGTATTTCCTTCAATGAATTTTTCAGCTCCAGAATTTTTGTGTGGTTTCTTTTTTTAGAGCTATCTATCTCCTTGGTAAATTTCTCATTCATATCCTGAATTGATTTTCTGATTTCTTTATATTGGTTTTCAGATTTCTCTTATATCTGAGAATATATAAAGAAGTTCTTTGAGCTTCTTTAGAATCAATATTTGGAAGTCTGTATCTGTCATTACAAAGAATTATTTTAGCTTGGGATCTGTTGCTGGACAATTGTTGTGGTCCTTTGGTTGTCATATTAATATTTCCTTTTTCTTATTTCCTGTATCCTTCCATTGATATCTGTGTATGTGATGTAGCAGTCGCTTATTCTATTTTTTTTTAATTGCTTTTGAAGGGGAGAATTTTTTCCCCAAAGATGTATACATGCTATTGGTTGACCAGGATACTTTGGCTTTCATTTTGAGTGTCTGCAATAGTGTAATCTTTAATGATTTCTTAGGAAGAACACAGGACCAGTGATTTCTGTGATTTCCTTGGTGGTTACAGTTATTACTTGAGGCTGTGGTGAAGTTTTGCAAGGGACACTAGCCAGGACAGTCTTCAGGTCCTAGTTGGCAGCAGTGGGCTGAGTATCCCTGAGCAGTGGGCAGAGCAGCTTACACTGGCTGCAGTGTTAGTGTGTCTTGGGGCTAATTCTTTGGCCTTTGGGTAGCTTGCTCAGAAACTAGTATTTAGGGCATAGAGATGGCCATTTGGGCAGCTTCTCAGACTCCTAAGCAGCTGGTGTGATGTGGAAGGTAGCAGTAGCAATAGTAGAGACACCCACTAGGACCCAAGTGGCTGTATTGGTGTTACTGGTAGCTGAAATGGATTGGGCAGGCTAGTCTCCAGTCCCACAACTGCATGAAACAGGGCGTTGGGTATATTCCTAAATGTGCTTAGGGAAGCTTGATCTCTCCTGTCCCTTCCCAGCTGGGTGGTGGCTCACAGCCTTGAACTTGGCCTGAGAGCAGGGTAGAGCCCAGCGTTAAACTCTGAAAATGTCACTGACTGTGGGTTTGCAATGGAAAAGGGCAGGGCTCCTTTCATGTGAGTGGCATGGGCAAGAAAGTATGTGGAGGGCAGTGTGCTTGCATCTCAGTCTTACAGGAGCCCATTAGCAGGGTAGTGGCAATTGTCCTAGAGATGTCTGTAGGAGAGCTTGGGCTGCCCTGTCCCTCCTAAGCTGGACAGAGATGCAGCTGCCTAAACTCAGCCTGAGTATGAAGGCAAGGTTTATTAATACTCATTGACACATGTCAAAGAAGTAAGGCCTGGAAAGAACAGGGGATTGTATGAGATAGGAGATAGTAAACTGTTTAAAATTTTAAAATCTCTTTATACTAAATATCTGGTATATACTTTCATTTTTAAAAAATAATTTTACATTTTAATTAGAGGTTTAACTGTTTAGAGTTAAGCAATTTGAATATAAAGGTTAAAAACAGCCATGACTATTAAAATTACCATCAGCTCAATCTACTTTATTAGATACAAATGAGAAGTCATTGACTAGTCTCAAACTAGTAAAAATTGATTTTTTATTTAGTTTTGAATATATGACAAATTTTCATGATTTTAGTCCTCAGAATAAATCAAACACTAATATTATTATAGCACACCCTTACTGGCCAATAAATTATATAAAGTTAAAGGAATTTGTGAACACAGGTATGTGAAGAGAATATTTGTAACTATTTTCATGTATACCTAACATGATGAGGTATGGTAGTTTTCTCAGGGCAAATGTGCAGAAGTGCATAAAGATAAAGACATTTTTTTCTGGATGCTTCTAAGATTTTCTGTATCATTAGTTTTGAGCAATTTGGTTATGATGTATCTTGGTATAATTACCTTCATGTTTATTTTGTTTAGAGTTTGTTGAGTTTCTTGGATCTGTAAGTTTGTAGTTTTTAGTTATTGTGAAAATTTTTCACCCATTATTTTTTCAAATTTAATGTCCTTCCCTGCTAATTCTACTATCTTGTCAGTTCTGGGTCACTTTTGATTGATTGATTCTTCTAATTATGTGTCATGTTTTCCTGCTTCTCTACATGCCTACTAATTTTGATTGGATGCCAGACATTGTCAATTTTATCTTGTTAAGTGTTGGATATTTTTAAATTCCTATGAATATTCTTCTTTGTTTAACTGAGACAGAATTAAATTACATACTTGGAAAAAATTCATCTTTTCAAATCTTGCATTTAATATTTGTTAGACAGGACTAGAACAGTGCTTACTTAGTCTAGGGCTAATTATCTCTAATTACTAAAGCAACATCCTTCTCAGTATCCTACCTAATGCCTGTGAATCTTGAAGTTTCCCAGTCTGGTGGGTAGGAGCAGACACTATTCCCAGCCTGTGTGAGCACCTGGCACAGTCACCTCTAATCAGTTCAAGTGTTTTTTCCCCTGGCCACAGGTAGGTTCCTCACACATATGTGCTGATCATTATTCAGCTGAATACTCAAGGCATCCCTCATCCCTCAGCAGATCTCTGCAGTTCCTTCTCTGTGCAGCTCTCTCCTTTCCAGAATGCTTTCCTGAGTGCTCCTGCTACTTTGGTCTCCCTGAACTCTTAGTTCCCGCTCCTAATCTCAGGGAGTCTGCCAGACTCCACCTGGATTTCTCCTCTCTATGCTATAGCCTGGAAACTATCCTAAAGCAGTAAGCTGGGGCGATTGTAGGACTTACTGAGTTTGTTTTCCATCTTGGTTATTTGATGTCCATTTTCTTGTGAACTGTTTGTTCGTGTATTTTGTATGGTTTTGGTTGTTTCATACGAGAGGGTAAATTTAGTCCCTGTTAATCTATATTGCTCAGAACTATAAGTGTGATATGTAGGATTTTAATTTCAGTTGGAAACTAATTTGAAGAGAAGGATATGAGAACTATTTCAAACATTAATAAAGGACTGGTTAGATAAATTATGATTTATCCATATAGCAAAATATTATGCAGCTGATTGAAAAAATGAAGTACAATTATATGTTCTGCCATGGAAAGCTTTCTAAGGAATATTGTTAGTAAAAATATTAAATTCATCCTTTTATTTCATCATTCAAGGAATATTTATTGAGCCTGTATTTTATAGCAGCTACTATTTCAGGCATTTGAGATCCAATAATAAGCAAGATAGACATTGCTCTGCCTTTAAGTAGAGCTTGTTGATTTAAATTCTGATAGGAGGGGATAGAAAATAGTATCATATTTAATGGTAAATTCTATAAAGGAAATCTATAGAATGATATTCTACAATGAATGCAGGGGACCTATTTTAGATAAGGTGATCAGAGAAAATCTGTATAAGGAAAAGACATTTAATCTGAGACATGGAAGATAAGGATCCAGTCAATAAAACAATGTCTCAGGCAGAGGGAACAGGAAGTAAAAAGCCCTGAGAAAGGAAGAACTGCGTGTTTGAGAAGCTGAAAAAAGGGGAGAAATGAGGAACAAAGTTATCAAGGACAAGAGTGATGCAGAGGTTGTAGAGGTTTTTAGGAACCATATCATAAAATGTTGTAGGCCTTGGTTAGGAGTTTGGATTTTATTTTAAGTTGCAGAAGTGAATAGTAGGGTTCCATTTATGTAATAGTGCAAAATGATAGTCATAGTGTATATAAGATTTATGGAAGGATATATGGACATAATTAACCATAGTTACCCCTGAAGGGTAGGAATAGAGACTGAAGGAGTAGGACAGAAAGAGCTTTACTTTATACCTTTTATTATGAATATTTTAAATTGAAAGTATATTACTTTTCAAACTGAGTAAAGTAGTGGATTTATGTTTTTAAAAGAGTTCTTATAAATTAATTTTAAAACAGTGGTCAAAAATATGAACAAGGCCGGGCGCTGTGGCTCACGCCTGTAATCCTAGCTCTTGGGAGGCCGAGGCGGGCGGATTGCTCAAGGTCAGGAGTTCAAAACCAGCCTGAGCAAGAGCGAGACCCCGTCTCTACTATAAATAGAAAGAAATTAATTGGCCAACTGATATATATACAAAAAATTAGCCGGGCATGGTGGCACATGCCTGTAGTCCCAGCTACCCGGGAGGCTGAGGCAGAAGGATCACTTGAGCCCAGGAGTTTGAGGTTGCTGTGAGCTAGGCTGACGCCATGGCACTCACTCTAGCCTGGACAACAAAGCGAGACTCTGTCTCAAAAAAAAAAAAAAAATATGAACAAGAAGTTCACAAAAGAGAAATACCAATAAACCTATGAAAACATATTCAGAATACTAGTGATCAGAAATTATGCAATTTAGACTTTCACCTTTCAGATGCTGGCAAAGACAAAAAATACTGATAGTATCCAGTTTCATTGAGGATGTAAGCAAACAGATGCTCTTGTGTACTTCTGGCATGAGTTTACATTGATCCAGACTTTTGAGAGGGCAGTTTGACAATGTATTTCAAAAACTCTGAAAAGTACATATTTCGGGACTCAGTAAGTTTTTTTCTAGGAATTTATTTTAAGGAAGTAAATCAGAAAAAAAAGTCCAGAGATACATATACAAGGTCATTCAACATTTATAGCATTGTTTATAATAGTGACTAATTGGGACTTAAAATTGTCCATCAGAAGATTGATTACTTAAATTATCATATAGTTCATTGACTACTCTGTAGCCATTAAAACTTATGATATCATTATGTATTTATTGACACCTATGTTTTCAGAGTATTAGTAAAACAGGTAGTTTAGAATATTATGTGTATAATAGAATTTTCTTTTTTTAATTATATAGATTTAAGTGTGTATATATATTTATCGCTTAGAGAACTACTAGAGGATTTATATGAAAATATAATTTTTGCTGTATAGTAGAGCTTTTAATATTTTTTATACTTTTAATATTTTTGTTTTAATTTTTTATGTTGAACATATATTAATTTTCCAATGAAGGAAAAATATAATTTATAAAAAGAACATACAAGCCAGGCAAGGAGGTGTGTGCCTATAGTCCTAGCTACTTTGAGGCTGAGGTGGGAGTATCATGAGTTTGAGCCCAGCTTAGGCAAAATAGCAAGAGCCACCCTTACCAACCCCCATCTCTAAAAATAAAAAAAAGGAACATATGGGGAGTATTAGGTAATCTAGAAATGTTTATTTAAATATTTATGCATATAATTTTATAACTAGTAATAAAATTTAATTGTATTGATTTGATCTGGAATAACTGATCTTTATAATGCTTTTTTATTTTGTAGGGCTAGAAGAAATTGCAAAAGAAAGAGAAAAACTTAAAAGGGCAGAAAGTATCCAGATCAAAGAAGAAATGTTTGAGACTTCTGGGGACACTTTAAATTGTTCAAATACAGATCACTGTGAGCAAAAGGAAGATCTTAAAGAAAAAGATAACACAAATCTGTTTCTTCAGAAACCTGGTTCTTTTTCTAAATTAAGTAAGCTTTTAGAAGTAGCCAAGATGCCTCCTGAATCAGATGTCATTACCCCCAAACCAAATGTTAGTGCAAATGGGTGCACATTGTCTTATCCAAACAGTGGAAAACATTCACTGGGCAGCATTCAATCAACAGCAACACAAAGCAGCATGGAAAAGACAGACTCGAATAATCCATTTAATACTGGTTCAGGTGGTCCAGGGAAGTTCTACAGTCCTGTCCCCAATGACCAGTTGTTAAAAACACTGACTGAAAAGAATAGACAGTGGTTTAGCCTTTTGCCAAGAACACCTTGTGATGATACTTCACTTACCCATGCTGATATGTCAACTGCTTTTTTAGTGACTCCTCAGTCTCAGCCACCATCTAAGTCACCTTCACCTGCCCCAGCTCCGCTTCTTGGATCATCTTCTGCTCAGAATCCTGTTGGCCTAAATCCATTTGCTTTATCACCTCTTCAGGTTAGTACTGCTAACTGTAACTCATTTTTATATTGATTTATGTAATCTTTGACCCCATGAAGATTTTCACTCAAGGGGGTCCTGCCACAGTGTGCGAAGTAAAACAAGTCAGAATTTCTGTCACCAAGCTTCATTGGAACTAATAATTTGTAGCCCTGTGATCCCAAACCCCCAGGCTGTGGCCCTGTACTAGTCTATGACCTGTTAGGAACCCAGCTGCACAGCAGGAGGTGAGCAGCAGGCAGGATTACAGCATAAGCTCTGCCTCCTGTCAGATCAGTGGCAGCATTAGATTCTGCATTATGGTGAGTTGTATTAACATAATTATTTTATTATATATTACAATGTATTAATAATACAAATAAAGCACAATAAATGTAATGTGCTTGAATCATCCCTAAACCATCTACATCCCCCACCACCTCATCTGTGGAAAAATTGTCTTCCATAAAACCAGTCCCTGGTGCCAAAAAGGTTAGGAACTGCTGTGCCTATGTCTAAGTCTTCTTTAATTACTTTTTAACTTATCACTGTTACAGCATACCTAAAAGGAAAGTTACTTTGGGGGACAAATAAGAACATAGAATTTAACATTGTTGTCTCAAGTGTATTTAGTTTTCCTCTAATTGTAATAAGTGAAAGAATATTTTTTCAGAATTTGAAAAATAATTTCAGATCCTAAACATTTTTCATAACTTATTATATTAATCTACTTTTAAAATGTTTTGTTTTTGTAGATGAAAAGTGGAGTATCTATGATGGGACTTCAGTTTTGTGGGTGGCCCACTGGTGTGCTTACTTCCAATATTCCATTTACATCACCTTTACCTAGTCTGGGATCAGGGTTGGGATTATCAGAAGGAAATGGTAATTCCTTCTTGACTTCGAATGTTTCCTCAAGTAAAAGTGAATCTCCAATACCACAGAGTGAAAAAGTCTCTTCAACTCAACCTGCAGCTGTTGAAGTAGCAAAACCAGTAGATTTTCCTAGCCCAAAACCTATTCCAGAAGGTAGGTATATTGAGGTGGTTTTAGCCATTTACTTTATTTCATTATCATAGATTCCTATATTATAACTGAATCTTTGATGGATTTTTTATGTAGTTAATAAATCTTTTGATATGTGTTAGCCCCTTCTTATTCAAAATATTTGTAAAAGATATACATATTTATTTTTATTTAGAAATGCAGTTTGGTTGGTGGAGAATTATTGACCCAGAGGACCTAAAAGCTTTGCTCAAAGTGCTACATCTCAGAGGAATAAGGGAAAAGGCATTACAAAAACAAATTCAGAAACACTTGGATTATATTACTCAAGCCTGCATTAAGAATAAGGATGGTAGGTACCTAAAAGAGATTTCTGCTTTCTTGTTTAGTTATGAGAATTAATTCTCCTATTCTAAAACATATTTTAGTATAGTCAGCCCTTTGTATTCATGTGTTCTGCATCCATGGATTCAACCAACCATGGATCAAGCATACTTTTAAAAAAAAGAAAGGATGGTTACATTTGTACTAAGCATGTACAGACTTTTTTCTTGCCATTTCCTAAACAATACAGTGTAACAACTATTCACATAGCATTAGAAATTGTATTAGGTATTATAGGCAATCTAGAGATGATTTAAAGTACATAGAAGGATGTATATAAATACTACACCATTTTATATAAGGGACTTGAGCATCCATGGATTTTGGTATCCATGGGGTTCCTGGAACCAATCCCCCATGGATACTGAGGGATGACCATATATCTTCTTAATTTATTGCTATTGTTTTCTAATTTGTTCAACAAACAGTAACTATTTACATTTCTTAAATTGGTGTTATATTTTTATAATTTTTTTATTCCTACAGACATATTGTTTTATATTTCTTAGAGTGTTTCTATTTTTAAGAGTAAGCTACCTACACATGCACAAGTACATTTGTATATATTAAGTTAGATGTGCATGCTACTCCTGGAATTGTATTTACTTTCTGGAAGAAATCAATGAGGGGAAAAACTTAATAAAGTAGATTTTAAAATTAATTTCTTTTCAAATGTAGTTGCTATTATTGAATTAAATGAAAATGAAGAAAACCAAGTAACTCGAGATATTGTGGAGAACTGGTCAGTAGAAGAACAAGCAATGGAAATGGATTTGAGTATCCTTCAACAGGTAGAAGATCTAGAAAGGAGAGTGGCATCAGCAAGTTTGCAAGTGAAGGTAAAGTCAACTTGGAATAAAATCTGTTTTTAGGATAATGGAAGGTAACTAATATTTATTACATTCCTAATATTAACCAGTTACTGTGGTAAATGTTTTTACTTCATCTTATTAAATTCTCAAAACAATCCTGGACTAATTTCCTCCATCTGACAGGTAAGGAACAAGGCTCAGAGTAAGTAACCTGCCAATGGTCATATAGTGTAAATGTCTAAAAGTGGATTCAAACCAAGTCAGTCTGACCCCAGAACCTATGTTATTTTTATTCAATCTTGCTGCCTCTTTAATGGTATTGAGAAATATCATATCCGGTGTACAGTTCTTTAATGCAACTGGAATTACCCTGTTTTCTTCGTGATAAATATAATGTTCCAGTACAAATCTTAACAAACTCCTATTTCAGTGTCTCATATAGAGCCAGGAACTCCCTTGTATTTAAGCCATGTTATATGTCAGACTTTTACTGTACATAGTTTAAATTTGGAGAACAATGTAGATATATCCAAATATATGTTATACAGTATTATACACATAGCTATGTAAAGATATCTACGGGGCATTACTGTTTCACAGACTGATTAGAACTGGTTTCTAATGGACAGGCAAAAGGAAAGCTTTATCTTTGTGCAGAATTTTTGGTTTTGTAAAGAGGAATATAAGGTCTTCTCGATAGACAGTAAGGTAGTATCTCTGAGAATGAATGGATGTTTGATGAATAGTGTGAAAGGGACAGATACCTGCAAAAAGGTGTAGAAAATTTAGTCTCAAAGTAATTTGATTTGATATATCATATTTTATTCAGAATGAGAAATTTATAGAATAATACTATCCTTTCCATAATTAAAATTTCACTTCAACATAGGCATTGTGGATACTTTTGAAGATCTCCAAAAAAATGTAGTTTTCCAGAACTAATAAAATATCCCTTTCTTGCCACAAACATAATTACCAACCTTGGGAAGCAAAAATTTATCATTTGCTGAAACTATTGTGCTCCAAACTCTGCCTCCTCCTCTTGGTACTATAATACAATATAAAAATGCCTCATTTATCTGGCATCTTCAACAAATGAACTCTTCTGCACTAGTTAATTTTTTTGAGAAATAAAAATTATTCCATTTAGTGCCATAAATTTTAACATGTTTGTTGGATCTCTCATGTTATGCATTTTACTGCCTTCTTAAATTGAGAATAATGAGTGTAATTAAATTATCTTGGTGACACAAGATCAGTGTGAACACCAATTAATAGACAATGATTCCCTCAGGAAATGTGAAGAGGTTTTGCCCCTACCGTAAATGATCTTAGTGTGTTTTGCTTTTTAAACTATTACATCTGCTTTCTGTAGTGTGTCTATGTGCTCTCTCATGGTCACTTGTTACTACTTGCTAGTTTAAACTTGGTTGGTTCCACAAACCTTATTTTCCTCAAACTTTCTCCCATCTAATTTGTCAATTCTCATTGACTGTTGATTGGGAAAGCATATCATTAAGCTTTTTAAAATTCTGTATAAAGTCAAAGTGTGGACCCAAAACATTTTCCTGGTGACATACTCAGATTTGGGTGCATTGACCTTTTTATGGTGCTGGCTGCTTAAATGATCTTGACTGTGTTCTCAGTAGCTAAAATAAGTGGAATTTGCTTTTGTAAGCGGGCTGTTTTAACATCCTGGTAATAAAGTATTACCGAATTATTCTGAATTATCCTAAGATTTGAATTGTAATTATATTAGTCTGAAAAGTCTGAGAACACAAGTGATGAAAATAGTCACAAAACATTATTTTAACATCTCTAAAAGACTTACCAGGTTTTTTTCTTTCTTAAAAAGAAAATAAGAGTTATATGTTTAGCCTGGGGAACTAGCCATTGTTAAGGCACGTTAAGCAGCGCCTTAGATGTAGGTCTAAGGTCTACTTAGATGTATTCATTGCTATTTTTTTTTTTTATCATTGCTATTTTTAATATTGCTAATACTTTGAAAGTTCTTTTTTTTTTTTTTTTGAGACAGAGTCTCACTTTGTTGCCCAGGCTAGAGTGAGTGCCGTGGCATCAGCCTGGCTCACAGCAACCTCAAACTCCTGGGCTCAAGTGATCCTACTGCCTCAGCCTCCCGAGTAGCTGGGACTACAGGCATGCGCCACCATGCCCGGCTAATTTTTTGTATATATATTTTTAGTTGGTCAATTAATTTATTTCTATTTTTTGGTAGAGACGGAGTCTCACTCAGGCTGGTCTCGAACTCCTGACCTTGAGCAATCCGCCCGCCTCGGCCTCCCAAAGTGCTAGGATTATAGGCGTGAGCCACCACGCCCGGCCCTGAAAGTTCTTTTTTTATATTGTAGGAAAATCAATGAGTCTCTAGTCCTAGTTCTGTTATTGAAAGCATACAAAAAGTCTTATTATTTTTCTAGCTCCTTTAAAGACAACTCCTATGTTTCTTCTTAAATTTTCTCTTTTACAAGTTAATTAATTCCTTCAATTATTAGTCCTGTGAAACGGTTTCCAGGTCTGTAATTTTCTTCTTTTTTTTTCATGATTTTCTTCTGAATAAGCAGCAGTATCAGTGTCATTTATAAAATGTTATATCCATAACTGTACATAGAAATGTTTAACTGTGTGTGTGGGGGGGGGACTTTTACTTTCCTTAATCCAGCACTCTACATCTATTAATGCTATTTGAATTTGTATTGACTTTTTAGCATCAATGTCATACTGTTGTTTTATTGAGTATACACTATAACCGAAATCCCTGGGCCTCATTTAAAGTACTTTTAAGTGAGTTCTATCACATGTGGTATTTCTGTGATTAGTTTGTTTAACCTTCAAAGTTAAAATTTGCATTTATCATTGTTATTTTTTTTTTATCAATTTGACTTGGTCACAGTTTTCAGCATATGGAACTATTTTTAGCTTAATTCTGTCATGCAGAATATTAAAATTCATTCCTAGTTTTAAGTCACTTGCAGATTTATAGCAATCAGCCAAGTTATTCATAAGCATATTCCTAGGACAGGCCAAATATACAGTGTTTGGACAATGAGTCTAAGGACCTTTTCTTAGGTGACAGAGCTGTGTTATTTGCCTTTTTCCGGATACAGTTTTCAACCATCTAGATTTCTCTAACCCTAGTCCTCTTGTTTTTTGATCTTGTCAGTTACCTTACAAAAATCAATGTTTACAGGGTTCCCTTTATTTAGCTATTTTGTATCCCTTTCAAAATACAGGAATGAGATTCATTTGACATTACTTGTACCTATACACTTACGTGTACTATGCATAATTTCATCCTTCCTTTCTAAATATAAATATGCTACTGAGTTAAAGGGGAAGCCTTGATCCTAGTATGTAAGATAAAATAATTATATCTAAAGAGATTTAATAGAAAGTTTATTCTGTTTTTCATTTACTATGCATTCACTAAGTAACTATTCAATATAAGAAAGCAAACACCACGAAATTGGATAAAATGTGGTTCCTATTCTTAGAAAGCTTGTTATATAATAGGTAAGATTTGTATACATACATGCAGAATCTAGTAACTGATCATAGAGAAGTACAGAGTAATGCATGAATCGAGGAAAAAGTACTGACTTCTGGTTGAAATATGGAAGAGATCAGGGAAGATTTCATGTAGAAGTTGAGGTGGAACTGAAGAGGATAAGTAAGGTTGTGACAGAGACCAGGGAATACCATACTAGGAAGTGGGAACAGCATGAGCAGAGCACCAGGATTGGAAGCTTATCACATGTTTGTAAAGTCCAAATTATAGAATTTGCTGCATAGAATATGTGAATGGAAACATGAGAAGAGATAGACTGGGGTACTTGAATGCTACAGTAAAGATTTGAGACTTTGTTAAACAGTGGGAATCTTTGAAGGATTTTGAGCTAAAGTATCAATATAAGCAAACTAAGTTATAAGATTATTCATTTATACAATCAATATATATGTACTGAGTACCCATCCCGGTGCTGGAGATAAATGAGGAAAAGCAGACATCGTCCCTGTTCTCATAGAATTTAGAAGTAGAAAGATATAAATCAAATGATCACACTGGTGTAACATTGCGACCATGACAAGGCTATGGAACATGGTCCAATGAGAGCCTGTGATGCAGAGACTTACCTCTTAAAGGGGCTCAAGGAAGGATTCACCTTAGGGGATCCTAAATTTAAGGTGACTTTTAGCATAAGAGCTGCAGGATGAGTGAAGTTAACTAGGTGAAGTGGAGCAGAGAAAAGCTATACAGACAAAGGTAACAGCTTATGCAAAGCCCCTGCAGTCAAAGGAAAAATGGTGAGTACAAGCACCTGTACGGAAGAATACTAGAAGGAATGAAAACAGAAAGGAAGAGCAAAGTTTAGAGGTACCAAGACATTTCCATATAAGTGATCCCATGAAATTAATAAGCATTTTAGTCTAAAATCCTTCAAAATACTTTGCTTATTAAAAGTTGCTAAATTTTCTTTTTCCAACTTCTCTTTTTTGTTTTTTTTTTGTTCTTATTTCTACCTAGCATTAGGAAAAACAAGGTAAAAACTTTTAGTACGGATCTTTGAGATCTGCCAGTGTCCACTGCTGTATTTTAAGTAAGGGCAATTCACCCATCTGGCATTTTAAGAGGAAACCATAATAACACTATTCTCTTGATATATAGGGTTGGATGTGTCCAGATCCTGCATCAGAAAGGGAGGACTTGGTATATTTTGAACATAAGTCATTTACTAAATTGTGCAAGGAACATGATGGAGAATTTACTGGCGAAGAAGAAAGCAGTGCACATGCACTAGAACGGAAGAGTGACAACCCCCTAGATATAGCTGTAACCAGGCTGGCTGATTTGGAGCGGAACATTGAAAGAAGGTATCTGAAGAGCCCCTTAAGTACCACCATTCAGATCAAACTGGATAATGTGGGCACAGTTACTGTCCCTGCTCCTGCACCATCCATTAGTGGTGATGGTGACGGGTAGGTTATTGAGATTAACTTGAAAAATTATTGTGCTTCTTTGCTAATTGGAGCCTATTTTCTATTGCCTGTTATCTATGTATCTTCTTGTATGTCTGTGATCCATATGGATCATGCTATTTGCATGGTGCTTTGTAAAAACATTTTTTTTTTTGTTATGTGCGTTGATAATCCTGCAAAGTGATCTTACATTTACTTGGTTGTGACTAAGCTTTGAGGCACGTAGCCACAGTCTGTGCACTACATCAAATTTAGTTGCTTAAACCTTATATTTATTGGCTGTTACATGTTTTTGTCATTGCTTGGCTTTCAGTGTGATGATTGTTTCACATTCAGTAACCATAAATGTGGACATGACCTACTTAATTTTTCTATATTTCAATGCAGAATTGAAGAGGATATTGCTCCAGGGCTCAGGGTATGGAGAAGGGCATTATCAGAAGCTCGCAGTGCTGCACAGGTAGCTCTGTGCATTCAGCAGTTACAGAAATCAATAGCATGGGAAAAATCAATTATGAAAGTTGTAAGTGTTTTTATTTAAGAAATACTATAACTAATTTATTTTGTCCTGTTTTTTTCCAACCTCCAGATCTTTCTTAAGTATATATTACCTATTGTCACAATAATGTATGCTGTACTTGAGAGTTTGTCTAATTCTTATATACTGTATAGTTTGATACTTTCCTCCTTATTTTGAGCTTTTTGAAGGAACCTACCAACTGTGTTATCTTTTATTTTTTAAAATCTTGCCTCTGCCTCTAACTGAAGTTATTTCCTATATTATGTCAGCATAATAGTTGTTAATCTAAATATTTTCAAGGTTTCTTCACTCTTGTAAACATTCCTATTTCTAACATTACCTACTATTACTGCATTCCTAAAATGTCTTTATCAGTTTTCATTTTTTTAATGCTAAGAACTACTTAGATAAGTAAATACAAAATAAGAAGAGAGCTCTTACCGTATGCACTTATTATGTGTTTGGCATCAGATGTGGTTGACATAGACTGGATCTTTTAGTCTTTCCTCTACTAATTAAAACTGGTTTTTCACCTTCTTTGTACAAGCCCTATTAGTTATTATCCTGTAGTGAGTCTCTGCTTTGTGCCAGATAGCAAAATGCTGTGTGCTCAAAATAAGAGCTATAGTTCATATAGTTCCAGAGATACTTTTTTTATTTTAATTTTATTTATTTATTTTTTTGAGACAGTCTTACTTTTTTTTGCCCGGCTAGAATGCCATGGCATCAGCCTCGCTCACAGCAACCTCAAACTCCTGGGCTCAAGCAATCCTTCTGCCTCAGCCTCCGGAGTAGCTGGGACTACAGGCATGTGCCACCATGCCTGGCTAATTTTTTCTATATATTTTTAGTTAGCCAATTAATTTCTTTGTATTTTTAGTAGAGACGGGGTCTCGCTCTTGCTCAGGAATGGTTTCAAACTCCTGACCTGGAGCGATCCTCCCGCCTCTACCTCCCAGAGTGCTAAGATTATAGGCATGAGCCACTGGGCCTGGCCCAGAGATATTTATTTTAAATGACAAGTGTCCTTATAGCCTCTTTTATATATCATCTGTAGAAATATCTATTATAGGTAGACTTTTATGAATAACTTTAACATTTACTTATGAATTACAGACAATGCATTAAAATTTAAACATTTGAGATATGTTTCATGAATGGCTAAGGGTGAAATTCCTTTACTTAAAATAGTTGTTTCCCTAAAGAAAAGAAGTGAACTTTAAATAATTTAGCAGTCTTTCCTTCATCTTTACCTCTATGCTTAGACTACCCAAGGCCTTATTAATTCTATACAAATAAATTTGGTTTCTTCTGTGGTTTTTCACTTCTTCCTAAAACACTATGGAATAATGAATCTACAGTTTTTGTAATATGCTCAAAATTGAGGTCTTTCTCAATTCAGATTAGAATTTACTATAAGTTTTAAAGCATTATTCAGTTCATATGATAGCATTTTTACCAGGTACAAATTTTTTTTTGTAAAAATTATTATTAAAAGCAGTTTTAAAGTCAGCTTAGTAACTGTATTTAAAATCTAGCCTATGATGATCAAAAAGATTGATTCCTATATCAAAAGGAAATTTGTAGTTATTTTTTCTTACTTATACCAAAACAATCATCATGATGAGGTCAGTTTTGTTTATAAACTTATACACAGAAATCCAAAACTTGTATCAAAACCTGCTTTTATATTAGTATTTTTACATCCTACAATTTAAAGCTTATTTTATTTTTTGCAAGTTCATTAACCTTTCCCATGTTATTAATATACATTAGTCATCATTTAACTCCATCTCTCACAATCTTCATTTCCTTTTTTAAATGTTTAAATAATACATTATTTGCTATGAAACTCCTTGAAAACAAGGCAGAGTTTCATCTTCAAAGGTTAAGAAGCACTTTGTAACCTTTAATTAGAACATAATGATGCCTGTAATACTCCTCATAAGTCCTATCAGAATGTTAAAGTGTTCAATACCTTTAGAAATACTCTCTTGGCCAAAGAATGAGTTTACCAGGAAGGAAGGAGCTGTCATAATTTGCCTCCAGATAGTTCTCAGCCCATAGTATACTTCATTATTGTTGTTAATTTTAAACAGTAGGCAACATCCACTGGTTTTTTACTGTAGTAGTAAATGAGTTGAAAGCAAATATTAATTCATTTGCTCTAACATTGTGAGCTATTGCTGTGATTTTTCAAAAGTGTTGAGTTTGGTATCTGTCACCCTTTCTTTAAAAGTCTTTAAAAGTATTCAAAAGTCATTTTATTTTTAAATCATCAATGTGAGATGTAAGACTTTGTAGTATTTTTATCTATCTATTGTAGAAAACAGTGAGAATTTACTTATGTTCATGAATCTGATTTTTAAATTTTGTTGTTATAGCGATTTAAATATAGCCTTCCAAATGTTATTTCTCAATGAATGTTTTTACAGTAGAAGTTTTAAAAGTGTAACTCAAATTTGGAGAAATAAAACCATCTTAAGGTATTTAGTGATGTATTAAGAAAGGTCATAAAATAGATACTTATTGTTGGAATGTTAAACTCTGCTGCTTTTGTTCTTAGTATACATGCCAATTTTAGTATTCCATATATAATATGTGTATTTGATAGATGTTTGTTAACTTGAATAGTGTGTATCGGCCATTTTGATAAGATTCTAAAACTATTGTTGGTATACATATTAAGTTATATAAGACTATTTTAGACTTTACCAGACAGAAATAAAATGTTGTACTGAAAGTTAAACAAAGTAAATTTGAATAGTTAAGCTATTTTGTTTTTAAGAGTATATAAATACCTAACTTTAATATAAATGATTTCCACTTTAAATGTTTTCATTTTTTAAGATAATGATTTTTCTACTATAGAAAATTTTGGGACTACTATAATTAGAATATAAACTAGATGTCAAAGAATAATGTTAGTGCTTACTATCTTTTTAAAACCATCTCAATTTTTTTTACTTGTCTAACTTTTCTTATTTCCTTTGTAAAGTTTGTTATACAGGATATGAATGCATAGAAAAAATCTTCTCTTTACAAATTTAAAGTTTTTGATAATGTTAGAAATTTTTTAATAGAAAAGAAATAATTTTTAGGTCTAGAAAATAAGTCATGACCTGTTAAATTCCTTAATTTATTGTATCTGTTTTTTTACTTAGAAATCATTGTGTAGGATCCATTTTCTGCACTTGTAACACATTTGATTTGGGTTGATTTTCACAGTTTTGTGGTTTGGACACTTTTGGACATTTTTCAATCAATGGCAAAACATAGATGGATAATTTATTCAAAATCTCAGCATATCTTTTTATTATTATATCTACTATGATACTAATACAAGTTTCCTAATTTTGATCTTAAAAGTTACTCTCTTATTTCTTTCTCAGGATATCATGAGGATGCTAAGATAAGCAAAAGATGAAGCACATTAAAAAAAATAAAACACCATGTTTTAAAGCTATTCATTGCTTTATGTGCTCTAACGTCATGTTAATTATTTCATATGTTAATGTGTACATGCTTCTGAAGTGTGTGCAGGCATTCAACCTCTAGCTTTGTTCTTTGCAGTGTACCTGAAATGTGCATTTATCCCAAAAGAACTGCTCACCCGTCATGTGGTCCATATCTGTGTAACGAGAGATACATAGATGTGTATGGCTACTGTATATTTGTTAGCAAGTGGAATGTTCATTACTAATATAAATTAGGAATTATGGTGTGTTTGACATCCCAGTAACTATTATTCATAGCAGAGGGTTAATTTTAAATGATTTTTCATGTATTATAGTACTGCCAGATCTGTCGAAAGGGAGACAATGAAGAACTGCTGCTCCTTTGTGATGGTTGTGACAAAGGCTGTCATACATACTGCCATAGACCCAAGATCACAACTATACCAGATGGAGACTGGTTTTGTCCAGCTTGCATTGCTAAGGTAAAACTGATCTAAAACTAAACTTTTTAATTACCAGAACAAATGTAAAGTTGTATGTAGGGTTTTTTTGAGATATAATTCACAAACTATAAAATTCACCTTTTTAACAATTCATTAGTTTTTTAACATGTTCCCATAGTTGTACAACCATCACCATTATCTATTTCTAGAACAAATTCATGACCTAAGAAAGAACCATTAGCAGTCACTCACCATTTCCCTTTCCCCTCCCCCCAGCCTTTTCAACCACTAACCCATTTTCTGCTCTATTGATTTATCTGTTCTGGTCATTACATACAAGTTGAATCATAAATATGTGGCCTTTTGTGCCTGGCTTCTTTCATTTAACACAATATTTTCAAGGTTCATCCATGTTCTAATATATTTCAGTATTTATTTTTTACAGTCAAATAATATTCCATTGTATGAATATACCCATTTTGTTTATCTGTTCATCAGTTGATGGACATATGGGTTGTTTCCGCCTTCTAGCTATTATAAATAATGCTGCTGTGAACATTCATGCACAAGTTTTTGTATGTTTTCAGTTTGGGTATATACCTAGGAGTAGAATCGTTAGGTCATATGGTAATAAGTCATTTTCTAGTCACATTTAAAATAGAAATCTGTGAACTGTCATACCAATTAAGAGAGAAGCAATATGATAAAATAGAAACAAATGGATTTTGGAGTTGCAAGGCAAGGAGTAAGAAGTATAAAAGAATCAGCGTGTATTGAAGACCACACTCTTTCCTAGGTGTTCCCTACCTCAATCATTCTCGCCCACATTTAGTCTCTTGACTTAATCCCTACCAGTAACTACTGCCTCTCCATAAACTCAATTCAGACATCCATCTGCCCACTGCCTCCTTTCTTTCCAGTTCACTCCCTCTAACAATTCAACTCCAACAATCCTTTGATCTCACCAGGACCTTCAGTTCTTTTATCTTCAGATTTTTCATTGTCACTCTCCCCCTTGTCCTTTCTTTCCTCCTAATCTGTTTTATAATTTGTTAATCTCTCATTATCATAATCATTGCATCCACCTTTAGTTCCTTTGCCTCTCTTTCACTTGGTAAAACCATCCTTCTGATTAGTCCAACTCTTTGTTTTTCTAGCACCTATACTTTTTTTTTTTTTTTTTTTTGAGACAGAGTCTTACTGTGTTGCCTGGGCTAGAGTGCCGTGGCGTCAGCCTAGCTCACAGCAACCTCAACTCCTGGCTCAAGCGATCCTACTGCCTCAGCCTCCCAAGTAGCTGGGACTACAGGCATGCACCACCATGCCCGGCTAATTTTTTCTATATATATTAGTTGGCCAATTAATTTCTTTCTATTTATAGTAGAGACGGTGTCTCACTCAGGCTGGTCTCGAACTCATGAGCTTGAGCTATTTGCCCGCCTCAGCCTCCCAGAGTGCTAGGATTACAGGCATGAGCCACCGCGCCCAGCCCGCACCTGTACCTTTATATCTGAATGTGGCTGTGGAAAATACACAGTCCTTTAAATTCATTATGAGCGCCTTTAATGATGTCTAATGATTTATCTCCGGCTCTGTATCTTCCTTCCTCATTCTCAGCTAATGACCTTACTTTCATTCCACTGAGAAAATGGAAGCCATCAGAAGAAAATATCACAAGATCTTGCCACCACATCTGCTGTCCTTCTGCATCTGAATTCACAAACGTTATCTTTTCTACTGTTGCCATGAACTGCTAGTGCTCCTGACTAAACCAGTTCTCCTCTTATGCCTCAGCTCCTATCCCCTCTTATCTCTTTGGGAACATTATCCCAGGAGTTCTCTCTTCTCCTGCATCATCCATTTCCCCTTCTTCTTTGGGTTCCTCTCATCCACCTACTGACATGGTACTATTTCTCCTCTCTTAAGAAAACTAAACAAAAACTCTCTCTGGCTTCACTTCTCCCTTCATCAACTTTTTGCTCATTTCTCTCCTTCCATTTACAGAAAAACTCTTAGAAAGTTTTTTGTTCTGGTTCTCTCTAATTTGTTTCCTCCAGTTCATTCTTAAACTCACCTAATTAGGTTTTCACTTACACAGTTTCTTGAAAATTACTCATATCATAGCCACAAGTGACTTTCACATCTCTCAATCCAGTGATCAGTGCTTGCCTCATCTGACCTGTCAGTTACGTCTGATAGAGTTGAACACTCCCTCCTCCTCAAAACGCTGATTTTCACTTAACTTTTTTCTTTTTCTTTTTTTGAGACAGAGTCTAGCTCTGTCACCCAGCTAGAGTACTAGAGTGCAGTGGCATCATGATGGCTCACTCACTGCAACCTCCAACTCCTAGGCTCAAGCAGTCCTCCTGCCTCAGCCTCTCAAGCAGCTGGGACTACAGACGCCTGGCTAATTTTTGTATTTTTTTAATAGGGATGAGGTATTACTCTTGCTTAGACTGGTCTTGAATTCCTGACCTCAAGTGATCCTTCCACTTTAGCCTGCCAGGGTGCCAGGATTACAGGTGTGAACCACCATGCCTGGCCTCACTTAACTTTTAGGATACATTTGTACCTGATTTTCTTCCTGCCTTTGCCCTTTCTCAGTGTCTTTTGCTAATTTTTACTTACTTCCCTGATCTGTTTACATTGTAGCACTTTCTTAGCTTGAGGGTTGTCATCTGTAAATAGGATAGTATCTGCTTTGTGAGAATTTGTGAGGATCAAATAAGGTCATGAATGTGAAAATTTTTATCACTTTAGAGTTCTGTGAAATGTTGAATACTTTATTATATTTTAGACTATATTTTATATGGTCTTATGGTATCATATTCATTAATATTACTTTTTGATTTCTTATTACTTGATCATTTTATTGTAAGTAGTTTAATAGAGTTCAACAGTAATCTTCATTGTTTATACTTAAATTATCTTTTAAATTCATGCCTGTCAAGTTATAGAAAGTTTCTCTAATACTTTATGAATTACTAACAGATAAGTGTTTTGACTCTTGAGAGAGTAGTAGGCTGCTAAAAGTTTTGTTTTTACTAAATTGGCTTAAATTAGAATTTTGGCTATCTCATTCAAGGAATGGCCTTGAAGACTTAAGATCTGTGATTTCATCCAAGTACTTCTATGTGAACGCACCTTTCAAAACCTCTGCTTTTTTTGTTTTTTAAATGTAATGAACTAGATGTTATGTTTCTTACAACAATAAAAAATTCTAAACATTTGATTTGGGTATATAAAGAAAAGTTAAGTTTTTAAAAATATCTTTCCAGTTAATTCATAGTTATTTACAAATATTTGTACTATACATTCTTGCTCTTTAATGGCTATTTCTGCATATATCATCCTAATTAACTACTTTCACTGTGTGTATGTGTGTATATGTATGTATGTTTGTTGTCAGGATCACAGAATCAAAAGACTTGTATATGTATGTATATATATACACACACACATAGACAATACATATATTGTATACATACACATATATATGTATACAAATTCAGAATTTTTACAAACATTATATAAGCCAAATAGCACATACCAAGGAATAGTCACACACATACACACATGTTCCTTGGTATCTGCAGGGACTTGGTTCCAGGACCCACCTTACATACCAAAGTCTGCACATGCTCAGGTCCTTTATGTAAAATGGTATATGTAGTATTTGCATATAATCTATGTACATCCCCCCATATACTTTAAATCACATCTAGATTACTGGTAATACCTAATACAATGTAAATGATGTGTAAATAGTTGTTATACTATATTTTTATTTGATTATTTTTTATTGTTTTGTTTTGGGGGGTTTTTGGAATATTTTCAATTCATGGTTAGTTGAATCCACAGATGCAAAACCTGCAGATAATAGAGAGGCAACTTGTATTTATACACAGTCATAGATACACACATACAAACGTGCATATTAAAAGTTTCAAAATCCAGTGCCTACAAAAGCCAAGCAAATAACATAAAAGAGTTCATCAAACCACTGGTGGGAACTGTGGCAAACAGGAGAGTCATGTCCCTATTTAAATGTGGTAACAGTAATCACTCAACTCTAGCCAATTGTTGTCATGTGGGAATGGGAGCCCTGTGTTCCAGAATGTTCTACTATTTCAAGGAAAGTCAAGATTATGGATCTTTATGCATATCTTCCTAAATATTAAATATTAGAAACAATTTCAGATTTTTTGCAAGCATTATATGAGCCAAATAGCACATTCTGTGTGCTATGTATTACCTGTGAGCCACCAGTTCACAACTTATAAAGTATACAAATATAACAGATATGCACCTTTGTACATGTAATTTCATAGGTTTTGCTTAAGATCCAACTGAGGTTCCTCTTTGAATTTGTACTCTAGATAGAGGGGGTGGGTCTCTTCCCAAGAACAAAATAATCAGGTACTAGAGTAACTGTATAAAAGCTTATTTTTAAAGTATGTTATATGTACACTATCTAATGAGGTAAGCTGATAAGCATTATTTATTAAATGAATAATAGAGACTTTATTGTCTTTATTGAAAAATCACTGAAGTTTTTTGATTCTATGATTTCAATGTCACATTTTTTTAATGTGAATATTAATTTGTTAGAAAATAGTCCCAAGTAATATTTTAGTTCAAATAGAAACTTCATGTTTTGACTCATTATATTAATACACATAACTTTGTTCTTTTAAATAACAAAACTATTCAACTAACTTAATTTTCATTAAATGGACTTTTTCTTCTGTATATTAAGCATTCTCTTAATGATTTCAGAGTGCTAAAAGCCCATTGTGATATGAAAACCCAAAATAATCATATTTTAGTGAATAAAAATTAAACTAAATGGAGAAGAAACTGAGTAAAACATTTTCTATTGTTTCAGTTAGTGACATGGGTAGTGATTCTTTAATATGGTATAGAGAAGGTATTGGGTTTATGGTTTGCCTTATTCAGTCAATTAATATACTTTTAACCTGCCATTAGAGAACCAAATAACTTTACTTGATTAAGAGCATCTTTTAATAATATTGCTGGCAAGAGTGATGAAATCCTCAAAGAAATTGCTATGAAGTACTCCAAAGAAATGTTTTCAGCAAATTTCAAGAATACAGCCAACTTTAAATTATTGCTGGACTGGTTATATCAGTGTGCAGTCCAGGATTTCTTAATAGTCTGGCTAAAGGAGAAGTAGTTTTCTAAAAGAATTTAGTGTGCACTTCAGATTTGGGAAAATCAAAACAAAAACCATACATTGCCAATGACTTTACATATTTCTCTTTTATGATCTGTTATATTTATTGTAACATCTAATTCTCAAAAGAGAAACTTATTTTCCCAGTTCCAAATTCAGGGTTAGAGACCCTTATTGTTTCATCAATGTGCTACCTGCGATTTGTGGTTAGATTGCATATAGCCACATTGAGATTTTTTTTCCCTGTAATTCTAGAGCTAGAATGACCTTAGCAAAAAATGTGGTTTACCTTTCTTATTTTACAAATGAGAAAGCAAGGCCTCACAGATATTTTCCCCAAAGGTCCATAGCTAGTTAGCAGGAGAGCCACAGCTGGAATTCATATCCTTTGATTCCAAATATGTCTGTTATGCCGTTTCTGTGTTGTTTTCCTCAAAAACAGACATCTTTTTCCGCATCTTTCACCATTGCTTTCTTCACACCTGGGAACCACAAGTTTGCAGGACTCTCTTCTTATTGCAAATACCTTTTATTCTTTATCTAGAAAAAAAATCAATTTCTAGTAGATTTGATCACTTAAAAAGGACTTCCTTCTTTGATACTTCATGAGCTCTTTTTCATGCGTTAGCCTAGCTTTTTATTACCTCTTCAACTTTCTTGTTAATAGTCTCTATGTTTTTGTTTATATTTACCTTTGTTCTTAATTATATTGTACTATAAAAGAGAGTTCTTTTTGTATCTTTAAACTCATTTAGTTAGTGACCTAGACTAAAGGAATACTACTGACAAGTTCTGTGGTACCCAACAAAGAATTACCATGAGATATAGGTATCTTTCAACATCTTAAGAATTCTTAAGATGAATAGACTTTTCATGCTTTATTAGATTTTAGTCCTGAGAACAAATTCACAGATCTCCCTTGAAAATAATGGAATTATTAACCTTCTAGGTCAGAGTTATATTCTTTTTATTATAATAAATTATGTTTATTATAATATGTCCTGTCAGACTTTCATAATTTAAAATAATAGGTCTATAGTCAGTCATTTTCTTATACTTCATTTACTTTTTCTTAATTAAAGGCAAGTGGTCAGACTCTAAAAATCAAAAAGCTTCATGTCAAAGGAAAAAAGACTAATGAGTCAAAGAAAGGCAAGAAAGTAACTTTAACAGGGGAAACTGAAGATGAAGACTCTGCATCTACAAGTAGTTCACTAAAAAGAGGAAACAAAGACCTCAAAAAAAGAAAAATGGAGGAAAACACATCTATTAACTTGTCAAAACAAGAAAGTTTTACTTCTGTTAAGAAACCTAAAAGAGATGACTCCAAGGACCTAACTCTTTGCAGGTATTATTTCAGTTTTCATATACTATATATTTAAATCATACTATATAGCTAAATCATATACTATATATCTAACATCCCATTTATTTGTTTAGAAACTTTTACTATATTAAAGGTTACTTTCTGACAATTTTTGTAAATATAAGTGTAAGATATAAGTAAAAGTAAATGTATTCCTTTATCTTTTTTAATAAATTAATTTGCATTGAGTTTTTACTTGAAAGATTATAATAGCTAATTTTTTAATAAAAACAAACAATTGTAACATATAGATACTGATTTCAAACATTGTTTTCTTTAGTATGATTCTGACTGAAATGGAAACTCATGAGGATGCATGGCCTTTTCTACTTCCTGTAAACTTGAAACTTGTTCCTGGTTATAAGAAAGTTATTAAGAAGCCTATGGATTTTTCCACAATTAGAGAGAAACTAAGTAGTGGACAGTAAGTAAATCATTTCACTTCAGTGAATATTTATTGAATATCTGATATGTGCTGGGCATTTTTCTAGTGAGCCAAAGATACTAATTAACAGCAAGGCATAGGCCCTGCCTTTGGAGAGACGGGGGTGTGTGTGTGTGTATGTGTGTGTGTGTGTGTGTGTGTGTGTTTGTATGTGTATATGTGTGTGCGTGTGTGTGCATTTGCTTATGGTGGCATAGTATGGAAGACAAGTCAATTAGAATTATTTAAGAAACTAAAAAGCAATATATAAACCTGCTTTTGACATTGAAAGGCCACCAAACCCAGATTGGGAGGTAAGGAAAAATATCAGGGAAGCTTCCCAAAGCAAGTAGCATATAAACTGGAGCTTGTATTATACAGCATCCATGGAATACTGACACCACCTCATGTGGATTTAACAAAAACTGACTCAAATATTTTCAGATTTTTACAATGTAGAAATAGAAGATCACTGGAAATTTTAAATAGTAAAAGCTTTATTATGAGTTTTTGGAGAATACTAAAAATCTATTTATTAAATATAAAAGAAAACTATTATTTGCTTCTTTCTATCATATTCTCTTTGAGATCCTATTCCAAGAATAAAGTTACTTATATATATATATATTTTTTTTTTTTTTGGAGACAGAGTCTCACTTGTTGCCCAGGCTAGAGTGAGTGCCGTGGCATCAGCCTAGCTCACAGCAACCTCAAACTCCTGGGCTCAAGCAATCCTACTGCCTCAGCCTCCAAAGTAGCTGGGACTACAGGCATGCGCCACCATGCCCGGCTAATTTTTTCTATATATATTAGTTGGCCAATTAATTTCTTTCTATTTATAGTAGAGACGAGGTCTCGCTCTTGCTCCCTGACCTTGAGCAATCCACCCGTCTCGGCCTCCCAGAGAGCTAGGATTACAGGCGTGAGCCACCGTGCCCAGCCTAAAGTTACTTATATTGGGAGGATCCCCTAATACTCATACAACATATATTTAATTCTTCCTGGACATTCTTTTGGTGAAAATCACTATGTACCATGATTTTATATTCAATTCAGAAGAGTTAAGTAGAACCTATCTCATATGATTAGTGTCTCTCTCACGTATATCAAGTAATTTACTAGATTGACCAAATGATTAATTTTATTTTTTGGAGGCTGAAATACAGTCTTTCAAAGGTTTATGTCCGTTTTGTTTTATTTTTTTTTTAAATTACGGAAGGGACCTGCTTAAATCCAGAAAGCAGTTAAAGCCATTAAAACTATTGGTTCTAATATGACCCAGACAGTAAAAGTTGTTGTCTAGATATGTACCAGTTCTTTTGCTTTTACTATCAAAATAGTCACATGTCTAGGTGGGTAGCACAATGAACTTTATCACTAACATGGCCAGAACAAAGATGCATGAAGACTTTACCAGTGTTTAATAACTCTTTTTTTTTTTTTTTGAGACAGAGTCTCACTTTCTTGTCCAGCCTACAATGAGTGTCATGGCATCAGCCTAGCTCACAGCAACCTCAAACTCCTGGGCTCAAGCAGTCCTGCTGCCTCAGCCTCCCAAGTAGCTGGGACTACAGGCATGCACCACTATGCCTGGCTCATTTTTTCTGTATATATTAGTTGACCAATTAATTTCTTTCTATGTATAGTAGAGACGGGGTCTCGCTCTTGCTCAGGCTGGTTTCAAACTCCTGACCTTGAGCAATCCGCCCGTCTCAGCCTCCCAGAGTGCTAGGATTACAGGCGTGAGCCACCGTGCCCAGCCAATAGCTCTTGATTTTACCTTTCATGATCTTCCAATTCCTGGATAAAGGATGAACCTCAACCTCCAAATCCCTAAAACAAGTAAGCTTAGAAATTAACACATAACCAAAAATGCTACAAAATCAGAGCTCCCTCTTAAGCAGGAGTCCTGGAGAATGAGAAGGGTCACCGTGGCGAGGCAGAGAGGGAAGCGGTCCGTGTGATCCTGTTTGTGGCACCAGCTGTGTGAGAGCAAAAGCCAGAGGATTCAGGCTTCCTAACTGCAAGTCGTTCGATTAAACCCAAACCAATGCGGTAGAACCAACTCACGAAAAATATTTCAAATCTTTAAACTAGAAAATTTTTAGAATGGAGGGAAGGAAGTGCCTGCTTTTAATGAATCTTTCTGAGTTCCATTAGCTGCCAGATCCTTTTACAAAGGACAGGTACTCATACAAGTAGTGGGCTTATCTGACCTGGAATTCTCAGAAACAGTCTGAAGAGAGAAACAGTGCTCAAAATAATTTTAAAATATTTTATAAAAATAATTCCCACATGTATTATATGATTCCATTTAATCCATTTATTATTCTAGTTCCAGAATAGGTAACTCCATAGAGACAGAAAGCAGATTTGTGGTTGCCAGGAGCTAGGGGAGAGAGAAGTAGGGAATAACCGCTTTATGGATATGAGAGCTTTCCTTTCAGGGTGATGACAGTGTTTTGGACATAGACAGAGGTGATGGTAATACAATGGTTTGACTGTTCAATGCCACTGAATTGTCCACTTTAATTTTATGTGAATTTCTTCATCTCAATAAAAATAAGTAAATAATTCCCAGAAGAACCCGAAAATGGATAAGGTTACATAAGGGCTGACTTAACTCTTTGTGAGCATGTTACAACCAGATAAATTTTAGTTCTTTTATTATTACACATGTTAGAAGGAGGGAGTGACAGGTCATACAAGGTATTTCGTCAAAGAAATAGAATTCCACTTTTACAAGTTCTCAGAGCTTCAGTGTCTCATGGGGTATTTCTAATGGTTAAATTATTTTAGTTTCCAGCTTGTCATAGGTTAGAATTAATTTAAAATTTGAATTTCCAAAAAGCCCTCTTTCAAAATATGTTTAGTTGGCTTGAAATGACCACTCCCTTCTTACTAATAGGCTTGGGCAGATTAATTCACCCTTCTGTTCTCCTCTCTGTATTCCTACAGAGAAAGAGAATTGGGTTTATCCCACCAGAAAAGCACTGAAGCTACAGTGCCTCTTGTGAAAGTCAGTCCCTCATAATGTCATCTCTGGTAAAGGAATAGCAGATGCATTTTTGCCTGTTTTGGTTCATCATACTCCAGTGCTTGAGCAAATTTGGAGAGAGAAGAAGAGAAACGGGAAATGGAGAAGGTTTAACACAGAGAGAGATGTATGTAAAAGCTACAGGGCAGGTGTGATTTTTATAGCGCTTAAGACACATTTACATTATTTCTACTGCAACTGTGGATAATAGGGTACTACAAGTGATATAGTTGATCAGAGGAGTTAATAAACTACTCAAGTGGGATGAATCCTACAACAGAATTGTGATATACAGGTCAAAAAGGAAATGGCATGTAGGGAAAATGCCAGTTGAAATATGCCTTGATCTTCAGAGAAATCTGTTTTTCATTTACCCTGCTCTAACCCAATATGGTCTAGAACATAAGAAATTTTTTTAAATACTCCATTTATAAAAGGGTGTCATGTATTTTATATCAGTTGAATGCAGTTATCCTTTCAGTTTTACTTTTTATTTTGTCTTTTATTACCTCTTTGTTTGTTTACAGAACAAAGCCACCTTATGAAAGCAATCTCTAATTATGTGTTTTCTTTCAGGTATCCAAACCTTGAAACCTTTGCTCTAGATGTCAGGCTTGTTTTTGACAACTGTGAAACATTTAATGAAGATGATTCTGATATAGGCAGAGCTGGCCACAGTATGAGAAAATATTTTGAAAAAAAGTGGACAGATACTTTCAAAGTGAGCTGAAGTTATAATTTTTTTTCCTTTTAAACAAGGACAAATGAGACCAGCAATGTGAACTGTATTTACATAAACGTGCAAGGCACATACATAATGACTTTTTTTTTCTTAGAGTAAGTATCAAAAAAAAAAAAAAGTATCAGAAGAATGATACCATTTTTAAAGGCTTCACTCCTACAACAACCAAGGCCCTTGGTTATTGGTTTGTGTGATTTATCAGCTAATTTAGGTAGAACAGGGAAGCACACCCAAAGAATTTTCAAAGGAAAGGGTGTTATAGTGCAATAGCAATTAAAATATATCAAATCGCACTGAATATTCAACACCAGAGCTCTAATGTGGGAAATGGTTCTCCTTTCCCTCTCAATAAATATCTATTTTTCATTTTTTTACTTTGTAGTTTATTTTTTAGTGAATGTATTTAATTTTATGAATTATTTATGATTAAACCACATCCAGAATCTTCGTTTTCTGTGAAAAGGAAGAACTAGAAAATTGCTTTAAATCTTGAAAATACAACAAGGAATGTTTTAAAATATAAAACAAAGCCAAGTTAAACTGTTTACACTGATGTGCTATGAAAGCACCAAAAATAAACTTTACTGTAGAGTTACAAGTACATTTATATATATATATATGTTGCTGCATCACTTGTGTAGTTAAATTGTATTTCAAGACAGTGAAAGAAATTGACGTGTATATACTGTTCATTATTGTTTATATTGTCTTGTTTTAAATATGTATTATGTGTATATATTGTTTGCAGACATTATTGTTTATGCCTTAGAAGGATTGTAGCATTTTATTTTAGTCGGAAGGTATCGCTATACAGCCTGTACAGTAATTATCCTCTACCAACACTGTGGCGTCTCCTTAATCTTGGTAGTGCCTGCCTTTGAAACAGGGTGTAGGGGATATTAGTTTTCCATTTTTCTATTTTGTTATATAATTTTAAGCCACCAGGGCCTAAATTAAAGTATAATCATTTGTATCCATGTGGAATAAAATTGTGACAATTTCCTACGCACACAGTATTTTTTCATAGAAACATTTCCCTCCCATTTGCCTTGCCTCAAAAATAAATTTAAAAGACATTTGTAACCACTGTGTTTTATCTACTGTGTGTTGTGGTGGCCTGTTGGAGGCAAATAGATCAGAATTTTTTTTGTACCTATGTAAGAGTACTTGAAGTTTTATTTAAAATAAAATGTTGTGGAAAAGGTAGCATTCTTTTTTTAGGAGTGTTATTTTTCACTACTATGTGTGGCACGGATACAATAAAAGACTTTTACAAACTATTTTTTTAGTTTTTCTTAATGAGCCTAAAAATATATTCTTTTCAGAAAGCCAGTTAGTTTAAATTTGATTTTTACAGAGTCCTAAAGGAGGAACAGTGTATGGAGAGTGGTTCATAGAAATCAGGCTGGGAGGAAGAAGGTGGGTTTAAATCAAGTGACTAAACTTCGGGAATCACTAAGCTTCACAATTCTGTAAACTTCTCTGGACCTCGTTTTATTTCTTATTTTGCATTTTCAATATGAAAATATTAGAATACATTTTTAAGATCTTGTCCCAATATAAGAAAAGTCTTTCTATTGGTGGACATAATAACCCGGCTGTCAATAAGAAAATTTGATCATATAAATTAGTCTAATAAGCCATGAAATACAAATTCAAGCAGTGAAAAAATGTACTTTGATGCCTTGCTGGGCCCTCCACTGGACTCTGGGCAATCATTGGTAAACAAGACAGGCCCTACCTTCAGGGGCTTATAGCATCATGGAATGGGCCTTAGATAATGTCCACTGCTTTTAACAGTGAGAATAGAAGAGTTTTGAAGAAAATATTCCTAACTTTAAAATGTTTCGAAGCCACAGAGTATTTTCTAAATCCCTAGATTGTTTGTGAAGACATATATGGAAATCAGCTGTTATTATGTAAATATGTCAGTTTCTGTTAACCAAATATTGGGTCGATGCCTTAGGGGGCTGGTGCTTAATCAAAAATACCATGTGGAGCAGAGAACAAGGTGGCACTGTGAATAAAGTGTCTGGTTTTTGTGCTTATAGAACTGCCTGGTGCTCCATGGGGATTCCTTTTCATAAGGGTTTTTTGCCTTAGGGGTTATATATGCTTATGTTAATTTATCTTAGATGGTATATAAGGGGCTTAATAATAACACGTCGGGTGTCTGAGGAGCTCATAAATGAGAAAATACTTACATACAAAAACAGTTTTTCAAGAGTGAGAATTTTCTTTTAAAAACAAATAAGATCTCCCTGAAAAAAGCAAAGCTTGGTAAATATTGGCTACTTTGGACTGGTGTCTTCATTACGGTTACTCAGCAGAGATAGCTGTTCAATAATTAGTAGGCACTATCTCCAAAAGGCTCCAATTGGAGCCGGCAACAGTGGTTTGTTAGGGTACGCATGTGGATCACTTGTTATGTAGACCGCTCATGCACGCACAGTGCCCTAGGTTAGGGTTATTCTCAATAAACCAATATCATTATTCTCCTCAAATGTATATTTTAAAAATTACTCTAACCCTCTGCTATCATGTAATTGCAAATATACACAACATACTTTAGTTAAATTAGACTTTACCATGAACCTTCTTCATTTTAGTCCTGAATGCTCTGTAAATTGAAAAAAAAAGAAATGGCAAACTTTCAAGTTTATGTAGATTATCCCTCAATTGGTGACCAACCAAGGATAACCAATCCAACAATTTACTACTATTAAACACAAAAAATAATCATCAGTTTGAAACAATATGTAGATAGTAAATTAATATTTATTGAGTTATAAACCACAGTGAAAACTAAACAGGTGAAAATTTATAGGTACACCATGAACTCAGAAGAAGTAAATTACCATAAATGCAAGGTGGTCTTTTTCTTGTTCCAGTCACAAAATAAAATTTGTTGTAAGTAATAATTTTAATCAAAATTATGAAGGATCTAATCAGTCTTTGGTACCTTAATGCTCTCCTCCACGCTCTTTCTCTTTCCTGTCCTCTCTGCCCCCATATTCTTTAAGGAAGTTCAAAATCTTGTTCCTTTGGGCCTCTCCCATTAAACACATCCTCAACAAGGAAATCTGATATCAGTGATTTACTCCTTATTGTAAATTTAATTTACGAGCTACCTTTTTCAAGGTTATTTGTATTTTAAATATCTCCATTTGAGAAATAAAAGAGGTTTGTGTTCTGTTAAAAGAATTTCATTCCAACAAGGAGATAAGCAAGGTATTTTAAGAGGACGGAAATTTCCCTTACACAGGTATATGACTCATAAAAAATACAATATAGAGGGCAGGTACAGTGGCTCATGCCCGTAATCCTAGCATTCTGGGAGCCTGAGGTGGGAGTATCCCTAGAGGTCAGGAGTTCAAGACCAACCTGAGCAAGAGCAAGACCCCATCTACTAAAAAATAGAAAAAATAAGGAGAGTGTGGTGGTGCACACCTATAGCCCCAGTTACTTACTCGGGAGGCTGAGGCAGGAGGATGGCTTCAGCCAGGAGTTGGAGATTGCTGTGAGCTATGACAACGCCACTGCATTCTACCTGGGGCAACAGAGTGAGACTCTATCTCCAAAAAAAAAAAAAAAAAATTACAACATAGGGAAATGAGTAGAATCTTATCTGCTAGGAATCTTGCTTCGGTAAGATCTCTTAGACTTGCTTAGGCCACATTACAACTCTACCAGGAAAATAAAAATTTTTTTAAACCTCAACTAATTTCAGTAACTAATTCTTCTCAATTCATGGCACACTCTTCATATTGTTCTTGCAAAGTCCTTTGTTTCTTTTTTTTTTTTTCATTTCTTCCTTCAGCTTCTCTGCACTTTGCTTTCCTCTATGTATAATCACTTTTAATATGTCTTCCTAGTTGGCCTTTTATGTTACTTATTTAGCAATATGTATATCTACATATAATGTGAAAAACTATATATAAGTTTTTAAGCCTATATCAGTTAACTTATGCTGTAAATCTTACTCTGTTTTTTATTTTTCTTCTGAGTTGAAAATAGAATATGTAAATTTAGTTCATTGCTTTTAAGTGCTGCAAGGTAGTCCATCAGAAGCACATACCATGTTTTACTTCCAAATTCCTGTATGAATGAAAATCTGTTTCCTGCAACTCCTTGTCACTGCACATAATACTGCAGTGAATGTTATAATCCATGGACCTGCGCATGGAATCTGGTTTCCAAGATGGCCCCCAAAACGATCCTTGCCCTCTGGTATTCATGCCCTTGTACAGTCCCTTCCCAGGTTGTATCAGAGTTAGTCTGTCTGACCAACACAGTGTAGCAGAATGACAGCGTGTGAATTCCCAGACTAAACCATAAAATACATTATTGCTTCTACCTTGTTCTCTTGGATCACCTGCTCTCTGGGTAAGGCCCGCCACTATGTTAACAGTGAGGACACTCTAGCAGCGCTACGGAGCAGCCAGTAGCTATCGCCAACTGGCCAGCTGTGTGTGTGACTGAGGCATCTTAGAAGTGGATCCTTCAGCCCAAGTTAAACATTCAGATGACTGGAGCCCCCGCCAACATCTTGCCTGCAACTTCGTGAGAGAACCTGAGCCAGAACTATCCAGCTAAGCCACACCTGAACTCTTGACCCACAGAAACTATGAAATAATAAATGTTAATTGTTTTAAACCACTCAAGTTTTTGACTAATTTCTTACACAGCAGTATCTATAAAAGACAAATCTATAAAAATCTATGAAACAAAGACAAAATCTGTAAAAAGGCAAATCGAAGTTGAAGCTGCTCATATAATCAGAAAAATTGCTTAATAATTTTTAAAAATCTGTAATAAACTTAGTGAAAAATAGTCCAAATATTGAACATTGGTTGGAAGGTAAAGGAAAAGAATCCACTACTGGGAGGAGTGTAAACTGGTATAGTCATCTAAAAATTAGTATGCCAGTATCATAGAGAGTTAACTGTACACATACCTAATAACTTGGGGATTTTCCCCTATATATGTATCCTAGAGAAACCCCTAAAGCAGCAGCAATCTAACGCTATCTCCTTTATAGACTGTAGAAACTGCCCCAGATTTTATTTTCAGTGGGTGATATTTAGGAAATGAAATGTTAGCCTTTGCTCTGGTTAAGGAAAAAGCTCAGGTGCATGAAGATTTGTAGAAAATATTGAGAGTTCTTGGATAATACTGGGACTAACAAAGATTTATCAGTTACTGCAGCAAAAGCAGTATTTGGAAGTGTGGCGGATAAGAGGTTGGCTAAATCTAGGGTTAAAAGAAGAGCTTATTTGGATCTTCTGGACCCTTCATTGAAAGAGAATTTTGCACCTTACCATTTAAACCCAGGGATATGGGATGGCAAAATTAATATCTGATGTCTGTTTGTAGCTCCTCTACTTCAGTCATACACATATGAAGATTATTTGGGTTGTTCTCACTGGATGTCTAAAGAAAAGCATTATGGGGTATACTATACATTCTGTGTTGTTCATTCTTTAAATTTTTTAAATTAAAACTTAAAAAAAAACTAAGCATTATGCTGAATTTCTAAGAATACTGTTATTCTCCATGAACAGACTCCTCATTATGTCTTCTAGTAAAACATAGCCCTAAAAATCATGCTAATTGATATCAAAGAATGTGGTTGAAGAAGAATTCAGTAGTGAGTGATAAAGAGAAATGAGGCTGGTACCCATTTGGGAATAGATCTTGGGCTGAGGTAAAAGGGAACCTTAGTGAGATCACCAAAAGCTAGTGAGGCATTTACCCCACACAGGTTTACATGGAGACAGTAAAAGGCCTTGGGAGGCTGTGTCCTTCCTCTAGTTACTCCTCTTATTCTTTTTACAACTTTTTACAACTTGCATTCATGATATACTTTTCTACCTATCTACATTGTATCAAATCTCAATTCATTTGAATACAGAAGTGACTTCTTTTGAAACAAAGGCAGATTCTATTCAGCCATAAATTATCATATGTATCTATGTAAATATGAGTAAATTAAGTGAAAAGACTGTTTATAGTATAGAATGTATAGTATTTCTGTAAAAATTAATGCACTTAGCATGGGGAGAATTCTGAACAGGTGTATATATTAATATTTCAATGTTAATTATTCCTCTGGTTAATAGAATTTGGAAAGACTTTAACATCTTGTCATCTTTCTTATCTGTATATAATATCACTGCAGCAAATGCACATTATTTGCTTTTTTAACGTTTAAAAAGTCTTTTACAACCAAGCATGATAAATTTAGCTGATATAACTGTTACTGAACCCAAAAGGTGTC